ATATATCACAGACAATGACACAATCAGAATTAAGTTACCGGATCAATCTAGAACATCATAAAATTTTTGTTAAATTTACTTCATTGCCTTGTTTTATCAATTCATATGCTATATTTTGATCTACTGTGACATAGCGATTGGTTTTTGCTTTTTAAGATTCCAACATTCATAATAGTCTTAATTTCTCACTTTTGGTCTTCTTATAAGAATCAATAAGCCGATTGTTGTCAGTCCTAGCAATCCTTCAGTGAACTGGACAAAGCCCTTAAATAATAATAAATAGATCAAGCAAAATTGTTACTCCATTTGTTTTGTACAGCTGTACCATCATGTTACTCGATTCATTCTAGCTGTAACTAACACAGGCCTGTATACTTATTTCATTTGTAGCATCAAATTTCAGGTCAAGCTATTATAGTTTATATTGCTAGTATATACTGGCACTATTCTACTATTCTTATCAAAATCATGAACATGAGACAATACATTTTGTTGCTTTCGTTGTAAAAATGTTGCTGCCAATACTATCTATTATGACTTGACACTTACTGGCAGTTCTTGCAATACATTGGATGCATCAGTACTGAATGTGTAGTGCAACAAAATTATAATTAATGCTTCTTTTACTTATTTATGTAGCATCTAAGTTTCTGTTCTGTGCATTGTATGTTGCTTTAATTTAGTTCGCCAGTAGTTCAGTTCATAAAATTTGTTATTATATGCAAGTCCCCTATTGGTAAAAGTCTGATATGTCTGAAGTACCATCAGCACCAAGTAGTAATAGTTGAATTGTGCTGTTAAAGCATTGATGTTGAATCTATAAAGCATCTTTATTCAGTAAATCTTACCTGAATGTTGACTCTCAGTATCTCATCATAAACGTAAGAGGCAGTTATGTTTCCAGCTTTGGCAATATTGCTACAATAATGATGTAACAATATTGAATTATCATTATCATTATTGTCATTGTTAATTTTATCTGTACTTAAACTAATTTTTCTTTTTTTCAATTCTTTGTAGTAATATTATCAACATTAAAACCATCAACAAACCAGTTAAGATTAGTGTCAAAAGCAAAATACTTAGAGGTAACTTTCTCACCCAAATTCACAGTAAATGGCTAAATGTAGAATAATTGTCCCAAATAACTTGAACAATACAACAAGTTTTAAAATAATAAAAATTTGTCAGCTAGATCTAGTACGGTAGCTTATGATTGCATCGTGGCTGACTGTAAGTAATTTTGTTTTTATAGAAAAAATCTTACCATTAGCATGCAAAACAATTACTCAAAAGCACAAATTAAAATAATTATACCTTGACAATCACATTACAAAAGTAGTCTTTATGCTGAAGTTTATAAGTAAACAGTTATGAGCTATAGCTACATAGCTACTATTATATTGGCATAGTAGAATCTTCGTACAAACGTGGTGGAATTGCTGGGGGAAGCAATTCTCTTGGTATATCTGGATCATCATATATATGTGCATCATTGATGGACTGAGCCAGAGAATAGTTGTTATCTGATGCTTGTTGTCCTTCATTACCTCCGCCCATATGTACCATCTCATATGCTGCATTTGTTGTTGTAATTACAGGATAGTCAGAATCACATTGTTTACTATCAGATGAAGCATCAACTGGCACAGTATTGGCTTTTATGAATGAAATATTTTAGTATAATATTGAGTACTACATTAGTTTTTTACCTTTTTTCTTTCTACGCAAAACTATTATTGGTATTATTACCAATACAATTAGCAGGATAATTCCCGAGAGTGCAAGCATACTCCCAAGAATATAACTGGTGTTGGACTGACTATTTGTTTCAGTTTCTATAATACATATAACAATGTACACAAATACAATATAATACTTCCAATTCCTAGTTTGACAATGCTAGAAGTAGATCCATTAATGCCAATGTATGAAGAGTAAGTACTCATTAATCCTGCAATAAAACACAATCAAACTACTTACTTTAGCTTAGTTTAAAATTTCTAACCTTCAAATTGTGATGAAGATAATATTTCTAGAATGCTGAATATATTTTGTTATTAATAATCATAATTACTGACCTGTGCTTGAAAATTCAAGAGAGGGGATGAACCAATCAACTATGTATTTTTCAACAATAGTTGGCATCAGTACTATCGTACCATTATGATCAATATCATGAACATAAACTATGTAAGTTCCATTAGTAATGAAAGAATAACAGGATGCATTATGTTTAATGGGATGAAGTGATGCTTGTATTGGCTCTATTGACATGTAGCAGTCCATTATCGTAACACAAGTGAAACAAACATCATCCCCATTTCTTGTAATTATCAGATCTTTTACATTATATGTATCTAATATTGAAGCATTAGTAAAGTATAAAATAAATTAGTATAAAATAAATTCTTACTTATTTCTGTTATATCAGAAGTTCCAGTTCCATATGTATCAAGGGCTAAAACAGTTAAAAAGTAAATTGAGTGGATGTTGAGTTTTGTACTCCAATTCACAACACAAATCTGATTACTGAGGGGAATGTCTTCTATGTATAGCAGATTTGATAAATTAAAGGTCCCATCAACACCATATAGTAGTAGCTGGATCTTATTCTGGAAACACAGATCAATCTAAAACAATATGAGCGTTAAGTCATATTATAACCTCAAAGATCAGTTTTACTTGAAAATTAACTTTCAGTAAGCCTTTGTTAAAATTATATGACACACTAACATTGTTGGGTTTGCTTAATGGAAATGCTTGAAAAACATTATTATTATGTATTATTTAAAAAGGACTTACAAGCAATGGTACTGATGTTGTGACAACCAGCCAACAAGGGTTGTGGTGTCAATTTGAAAGTATAAACATTACAAGGATCAAAAGACATCATTTCAATATAATTGTAAACACTGTCTGCTCCAGTCACATTAATAGTATCATTAACTGTTCCATATGAATCAGTGATACCAAGAGTAAGTGACGAATTCTCTATTGGAGTGACATCCCATGAAACAGTAATACTGTTAACTGTTGTAGATATGACTTTAAAGTCATTCACAATCACAGGTTCACCTTTGAATTAAAGTAAACAAATGTAGATCTACATTGTCAATTAGAATCATTGTTGCCTACCTTGCACAGTCAAGTTTGCAACTGAACTTGTATCATTGTAAAAGTCACCCACAATGACACAATACACTTCAGTATTGTTATTGAGACAGTTACCGGCAATGGATAGAAATGAGTACTTTGGAAAACAATGCCAAAAATTGAAATCAGTGTAATAGCTGATTCCTCTTTTTGTCAAGTCTTCACTTGTAATGTCATCAGCGTTTACACCATCGATGAACCAGTACAGGTAATCACCATCACCATCACATCGAAAAATGGCATTGTCATTCAAGCTGACAGTAGTTGATGAAGGGCTGGTATACACATCTAAAAATAATCCACATAATTATAATAATTAGGACACATGCACTAACATCCATAGTGACAGCACAGTACTGAAGGAATGAAGAAAGCAGCAAAGATAAAAGCAATCCATTGATAAGACATCATTTTCCTTTCTTTAGGGAGTGGAGGGGTGTTCACTAGTTTACAGTTGTTTACTTTAGCTGTATTGTTGTAATGTACTACTATTATTCATCTTACAATAATGTCAACAGTCCTATCAACAGCAATAATACAATCAGTACAAGGAAGGGGCAGTGTCCTCTTGGTTTTATTTAGCACAGATCAACAGTATAATTTTGTTTAAACAGTGCTGAAGTTGCTCTTGGGCATTACAAGCCACAAGTGTTGCTTGCCTAGTGTATGGAGGCCTTTACTCCCACAAACACATGTAGTTCACATAATGCTATTGTATGTACATTAATTTTAATTTATAAACAGTCACTTAATTGCAACTATAATGATAATAATAATAATAATAATAATAACAATTAATAGCAAATGAAATACAAAACAATTTTAAACACACTAAAGTTTCTACTCTTCTAATTTACGGAAAGCTTCCTGTATATCATCAGTGAGCTTAGCATAATAAGCCTTGATCTTCTCTTCGCCATCATCAATAGGGTCCTATAAGAGAGGGGGAGAGAAAATATAAACAAAAGGTTGACAGAAAAGACAGATACACACACAGAGAAGATTAAATTGCTCTTACCATAAATTTCATTCTAGTCAATTGATGAATGATGTCCCCACACTGATCCCTAATAATAGCCCATGTTATCTTATTATCAGACTGAGCAGTATTTTCAATAGAACGCTGTGCCATGTTATAAAATGACACAATATTCTGAAGCATTCCAACAGTCTTATAGAATGGACAGTAGCGATCATATGCTGTGTAACCATTTTGCTGTAGGAAATCATCTTTTATTAGCTTAGCAACCTCAAGCGTGACCTTATCTGACTCTGCCAATGAGCCCTAAACAAGTACAAATAAAAAATAATTATAATCATATTCATAAATATCTAGGATGCCACACCCATGATAGTTAATATTCATAGCACCTACACCCACATACCTTTCCTACAAGCTGCACGATTTCAGACAAATCTTCCTCCTCTTGCAATATCTCTTTAACCTATTACCATTAAAGGAGATACTATTATAGTGGGTCATTTTCAAAGATTAAAAACTTCACAAATTACTAGATTAATATTAGTGAAAAATACGGAAAACTTTTTTTAGAAAAATAAAATTTGCAAAATCTCTCACAACACAATACATGCATCCTTTCCATTCACTCTCAATTATTTCTCTTACAGTAGTCCTTAGCTGAACAAATTCTGAGTGATTCTTGTCATAAAAGTCATCCAAGACCCTCATGTACTTGCTGTAGCTTAGCAACCAGTTGATGGAAGGGAAATGCTTTCTCTGTGCCAACTTTTTATCCAATCCCCAGAATACCTGAAGAGGAAAAGAAAAGTGAGGCACATGCTTATGTATGAGAGTAGAAAGAACATCAAAACTACTGTCTCTCTTTACATACTTGAACAATGTTAAGTGTTTGTGCAGTCACAGGGTCAGAGAAATCTCCACCAGGTGGGCTGACAGCACCAACAATAGTGACACTGCCCTCTCTAGTAGGATTACCAGTACACACAACACGACCAGCTCTTTCATAGAAAGAAGCCAACCTAGCACCAAGATAAGCTGGGAAACCATTTTCTAGAGAAAAGAAAGGAGAGAAAGTGAAAGTTAGTTTCAGACAAATAAAGTAGGAAAAGGGACAAACTAGACATACCAGCAGGCATTTCAGCCAAACGGCCAGAAATTTCACGAAGTGCCTCAGCCCAACGAGAGGTAGAATCAGCCATCATACTCACATTGAAACCCATATCACGGAAATATTCAGACAGTGTAATACCTACCAGTTAAAATTTTAAAATTTATAAATAAATTAAGTAGTAATTAAGTGACAACCCATAACTCAATTTAAAAAATACAAATCAGACAATAAATCAATTTAATGAAATACAAAATTTGATGGCTGACCTGTGTAAATTGAAGCCTCACGAGCAGCTACTGGCATATTTGAAGTATTGGCAACAAGCGCTGTACGCTTCATAATGGACTCCTCCACTCCTCTGATCACCACTTTCAACTAGATGGAGAAATGAGGCACATAAATACATGCATAAACTACTATATCTCCATCTCTTCTCCTTTGCCCTGCCTTCCTCCTTCTCCTTCTCCTTCACCTTCCCTCCCTCCTTCTCCCTCACCCTCCCTCCCTCTCTCTCCCTCCCTCTCTCTTTACTTCAGGGAAATCTCTCAATACTTCAGACATTTCATTTCCTCTTTCTCCACACCCAACATAAATGATGACATCAGAGTTAGAGAACTTTGACAGAGACTGAGAGATGACAGTCTTTCCACACCCAAAGGCACCAGGAATAGCTGTAGTACCCCCTTGAACACAACTGGGGATAGAGTGAAGGAAAACAAAAATAGAAAAGAAAGAAAGTGGTTGCTTACGGAAATAGAGCATCAAGAACACGTTGTCCTGTCAGTAGAGGATAATTTGCTGCCAGCTTCTCAACAACAGGACGCATCTGACGAACTGGCCATACCTACAAATTTATACATAATGGTCAGAATGACAAATCAAACAATTAATAAAGCATAACAATTCTTCCAATGCTAATTATTGTAACTCGTACAATTATACATACATGTAATAGTAACAAAATTCTACTTGAGCCATTAAAACCACATCCCATTAAAAAGCAAGCAATGTTAATTACCTGGACCATAGTATGCTTTGTTGTTTCACCTTCAAATTCAGTCTCCAGTACAACATCATTGATAGTGTAGTTGCCAGCAGGTGCAATATACTTGATAGTACCTGCTGCTTTGGGTGGGAGCATAATGTGATGATCAATGAGAGTATTCTCTTTCACAACACCATAACGATCACCACCAGATACATGACTGCCAACCTAAAGAAGTCATAAAAGTGTACCATTAAATTGAGAGTAAAATGAGGAATATAGTAGGTAGTACCTTAAAGTCTTTGACAGGCTCAAAGTACCAGGAGGTCTCACGACTCAAACTGTATACATTAATACCACGAGGAATATAAATACTACTAGTCATATCACAAATATCCTATAAAGGAAAAAGAGAGTTAATATCGTATACTGGTTTATTTTTGTGGTACAAAATTTTTGCAAATCTTGCTTTTTAAAGATTTCGCAGAATTAACTTTCGTCAATAGTTTGGAGACTGTACAACGGGGCAATAAAAATACAGAATTTTGCGGTGCAAAAATTTTGAGACAGAGCAAGAAACCGTAAAATTTGTGAAAATAAATGTGGTATACAACTATATGGTATTATCAAAAGAGAAGACAATTTTGACAACTACTATTTGAAGTAGCTAATTAGTACTTACTTTCAATGGTCGCTGAATTCCATCAAATATGTTACCCATAATACCTATGTAATGTGAAGCATAATGAGCATTGGGTCTTGTAATATTGACTCACCAGGACCCAGCTCAACAGATAAAGGCTTTCTAGTACGCAAAACTGGATCACCAATTGTTACACCAGCTGGAATCGTAAGAGTTAAGTCATGTGAAAATCATTAATTTTGACAAACTTTCAACAAGTAAATGTATTATAACAATGAGTACTATCATGTGACAAACATTGTTATCATGCAATCACATTACGTGTACATCACATGATGAGGTAGGATACAAGTTTCTTCATAGACCTGAATGGTGGCCAGGTCTCCCTCCAACCTAATGATCTCTCCAACAAGTTCACTGTGACCAACACGGACCAACTCGTACATAGCAGCACCACTCATATTCTGAGCAATAACCACTAGAGACAGAAAAAGATAAATACATGTACCAGGCTAAGCAGGGATTGAAGGGATTAGAAATAGAAGCAGAAATGAAAGGCAAAAGCAAGACAACTAATTGCACGCATAATGATGTATCCAAAAGGCCAGCCTGGGGTTTCTCACAGAATTTTGACACAGTACTCATGCAGCTTCTTGTCAATAGATTGTCAAGTTGTCCAAAAATTGGGCCAAGTACAGAGTATTTTGACAAAAATCACAAGGAGAGAATTCTCCATTTTTATAATTTTTCTGGTACATTTATATTTCATATAAAGTTTGAGCTAATTCTGATAAAATTTGAATGTTTTTATAAATTTTAAAAAGTTGTTAAAAAATCGGGCTTATGACCAAAGGCTAGGAGAAAATTTTGTCATTTTGTTCTTGTGTTTATAGAAACTTTGAGCTGACTCTGATCAAAATTGAATTTTTATGCATTTTAAAGTTGCTTCAAAATGCCATATACTGTATTGCAGTACTTGTTTGAAGCATGCTGTTTAGCTCACTTACATGTAGCATGCTTTGTGGCGAACCCTGGGCCAACCAAATAAGCAGTACTATACATAATAGATCTAGAGGGAGTTTTAGAGACTTTTTGAATTGTCATACTTAGTCTAGATCTCCATTTTAACATTTTAAGCTCATGTACATTGTACATGCAACTTTAAAGTGTGTACAGAAAAATTAGAATGATCTTGAAAATCATATTTTTTAGAGCTAAACGATGTTAATAATTTAATATAGATGCAATTACATGACCCTAGTACTCAAAAGGCACACATTAACATGATAAAAAGAATGATCCTTAAAATATATGCTTATGTGATATACGACCTTTTTTTGACCATAAACAGTGGTGCATATCAACTGCTTCGCTATGCTCATAAGTTTCTATTCTTGTGCTATCTCTTTCTCTTATACAATACTAGTACAACAAGTCTACAAGGTGAGGCCTATTGTCTCAATGGGTGACACTTGTAAAGCAGTCATTGATTCTTAAGCGTACCTCATACACTGTTAACACAGACACTTGTCAGTTACCATCATAGAATCAGGAATCCCTTTTATTTAACTTGTCGAGTATGCCGTAACATTTCATTGCATGTTAGATGAGGTAATAGCAATAAACACATTAAGCAATGTTAGTCATGTATTGCTATTTCTAAAATATCCCCACCTACTATTGAAAAGGCAACTTCATACATGAGGTGTAAATGACACAGGGCTGCTGCTACTTTGCTCTGTTTCTCAATAAATCTTACCAGGTCCTGAAACACCGTGCACGTATCCATATGAGCTCTCCTTTTCTTCGTCTTTTACTTTAGGAAGATCCATGGCAGCAGAAAAAAGGCTGAAAAGTATAGACCCGAGAGAGAAAAGGGAGGAGATAACCCGTATGATCTATGGTTACAGGAACCCGATACTAAAAAAGAGCATGTGATCTCGACACAAGACCCATAACAATCCGCCCACCTTGACCGCACCCTGTTGTATTAGACTAACTTGAAATTCTTGAATGCAATCCATGGACTGATGAGTGCATCTAGGATGCCACTGCCCACTGGCACCTGACCTGAGCTAATATTGCACATTTGAAGTGCATAGGTATTAAAACTACAGTCAGCCAGTCATTGTGTAGGCAACAAGCATGATTTTTCTGGTGACTGAGCCTCTAAAATTAAACATCCTTACACAATATATATATAGGCATACTGCATTGATTGCTTTTTGTAACAACCTCAAATTATGGTAACAGTAGTCTATAGCTCTCATCATGACATAATTATTTTCTAAAGCTTCTATGTCAGTAAATTATTCATTACTGGTCCATGTCGGTGAAATGTATACAGTTGGAATTTTATTAATATTTTATTTTTAGTTTTTACTTTCAAACTTTTAAGATAATTACTGCAAAAGCAACAAATTAAGAAAAGTAAACTATCATTACAATATCAAAAAGTGAGCACTTAACTTATAAAAACACACTCAGTCTAATAAATTCTGGCATGTGTAGGTAGTCAGAATAGTTGCAATGACAAGATGGCTAAATGGATTATTCTTTGCTGTTTTTTTTCAGTTTGTCTCTTCCTTATATATTAGCATTGATCAAGATGAAGGAAATGATGCAATGGAATGCATTAAAGGGCAGATCTCATGTCAATCATTGCTGTATGTTTCTGACGCCCTTAATATCATTAACATCACTAGTAATCTCACAATCGAGATCACTGGACCTGCTCTTAGTCTAAAAGGGAGTGCTGTATTTACTGATATTTTTGACCTGACTATCAAAGGAGAAAGGAACAACATTGAATGCAGTGAGTCTCAATATTTAATTGGGTCTGGAATTGTTTTCAAAAACTGCACTAATGTCAAACTTATTGGTTTCACAATGAAATACTGTGGATTATTATATGATTGCAAACAATTCTATGGGATACAAGCAATACTTTTCTGTAATTGTACCAACATTGGTATTGTTCTTGTCAATTTTAAAAACAGTAATGGCACTGGATTAGTATTTTATGGTGCTAGTCGTTTCATTAGCATTGAAAATTCTGTTTTCTTGAACAACAGGTTCAATGGTAGGAATTTAATTTATGAAAGAGAAACAACACTAACTGGAGGAGGTGTACGTATCATTCAAATTCATAATGCTTTTGTAATCATTACTATGTGTAAATTTGTCAACAATTCTGCTACTTTTGTGGGTGGTTCATTATACATGAATTTTAGTGATGCTTTCCAAAATGCAATCACTATCTATGCCTGCAACTTCACTAGTAGCATAGCAGGCATTAGTGGAGGAGCTATTGGTATCACAGTGTATTTAAGTGGCTCATTGCCTCCAAGCTCAAATTATTCAATTAGCTTCCGCAGTTGTAATATTATTAACAATGTTGCTCAGTTTGGTGGAGGAGTTGCCATTCAAATACCACGCATCGGAGTTCGCTATCAAAGATTCAATATCGAAAATTCTATCAGGTTTCATAAATGTACATTCATGAGTAATATAGGTAAAGTAACTTCAGCTGTAGATATCAATGGTCAGAATCAAAGAGTGGAGGATTCACTGCATACCCTTATAGTATTTCAAACAAACACTCAGTTTAAAAACAACATAGCTGGATTTAACCTTCAAGTACCTCAACACAGGCCTTATAAAGGTAAACTATTCAGTGCCACTGTCTATGCTATTGATGCACAAGTTTCTTTTGAGAGTCAAGTTACATTCATCAATAATACTGGAACTCCAGTGTACCTAAAAAATAGTCACTCACGTCTTGGATTTAAATCAAATGTCAGTTTTATTGGTAATACTGGGGATCGTGGAGGAGCTATTCTGTTAGATGAATATTCGGTAATTGAACTTGATTCTTCTTCTCTGTTACAATTTATTAACAACTCTGCACTTATTGGTGGTGCAATATTCGTTGATACAATCAATATTATACAGTATGAAGGAATATGCTTTTTTCAGAAAGTTTCAAATTATAGGGCATTCTATATCAGGTTTAAAAATAATATTGCTGAAAGTGGAATTGGTCATGATATCTTTGTAACTACTCTACAACCTTGTGTTCAGTTGCATCATAGCAATGCTACAGCACTCTTTACAGGCAGTAAAATTGGAATTTTTAATTTCTCTTCATCTGTATCCCAGGCAATTTCTACTGCTCCTGCTACATTATTATTAAACAAGACCGAATTAAATATATTTCCTTATCCTGGTTTACCATATGCTATGAATGTAACACAAATAGATGAGTTTAATAAAAGTGTTACTAACTTGCAACTCTTTCCATTGAGTTCAACATGGCTTCAAAAATCAACAATAAAAATTAATTCTGCTCATTCAATTGGCCATAGCTACATATTAACTTTTAATGGACAAGTGGGACAAAGTAATATTCTTTTGTTACAGGGCGCTGATTACAGTGCTACATTATACATTAATGTTACATTGTATCAATGTCCGCCAGGCTACATTTTTCAGAATGATACTTGTCTTTGTTCTCATAGTACTAGTCTTTATTATAATGGCATACTACATTGCTTAGAGGATAAAAGAGCAGTAATTGCAAAAGGATTTTGGGCTGGATACTTGAAAGATAAATTCACCACAGCTACTTGTCCTTCTGTTCTTTGCAATTACACAAATGATAAAAAATACGAAGAGCATGTCCTCCCATTGAATTGTAGTTTGTTAAACGATCATGTTTGTGCCTCTCATAGGAATGGTGTATTATGCGGTAGTTGTGTCACTGGCTATACCACATACCTTCACTCTCCTAGCTATCATTGTGGTGAATCCGCTCATTGCAAATATGGACCATTGTTTTACATACTATCAGAGATCATACCAGTTACAATTATATTCCTAGTGATCCTTTTATTTAATATCAATTTGACATCAGGTGCTCTGTATTCTTTTATCTTTTATTCACAAATTGTTAGCAATCACTACACTCAGTACCAGCCATACAGTGATGCACTGAAATATTTCTTTAGCACTCTCAAGGTAGTTTATGGCATTTTTGACTTGTCTATTTTGGAAGTAAATGAATTTTCATTTTGTCTATTTAAGAATGCAACAGTAATGGATTTGATGCTGATTAAGTATCTAACTACACTTTATGCTCTGCTACTTATTTTTGTTACCATTTTGGTACTGAGGGCTAATTCCTTATACTTTTGCATCAAACTCTGTCACAAATGTGGACGCAGAAATATAAGAGGCTCCATTGTTAATGCATTGACAGCTTTTTTAGTTCTGTTTTACTTTCGTTGTTTGGTGATAACACTTTATGTTTTAGTCCCTTCATATGTGATTGGAGAAGGAGGGAACAAGCAAAAGACAGTTCCTCTTTATAATGGAGACTTGTCCTACATGTCTAACGATCATCTTAATTATGTCATACCAGCTATGATATGTCTGGCATTTATAATCATACCTCCTCCTATTATTCTACTATCAGAGCCTTTCATAGTACGAATCAATGGTGCATTGAATATTAAAAGAAACGCCGTTACTTACAATCTCCACAGGCTAAGAATGAAACTGAAACCATTTTTAGATTCATTCCAGGGATGCTTTAAGGACAACTACAGATGTTTTGCTGGCCTTTTTCTTCTCTATCATATATTAATTGTTCTTACTCCAATGTATTTTTCAGAGGGCACATTTTGGAACATTACAATTAAAGGAACACTTTTGTTTCTGATTTTACTACTACATTGTCTATGCTCACCCTTTCAGCAAAATATATTCAATCATCTCAATTCGTTTTTACTGATTAACCTCCTTCTGATTAACATGCTTCAGCTGGCACTAGTTAGTACATATGATGGGTCTGTTTTAGTGGCTGGAATAATCCAGTTAGCTCTGATGTCACTGCCACTCATTTACTTACTGTGCTATACTACTGGATGGCTCTGTAAAAATTATTGTGTTCAGAGAAGACGGTATGAAATAGATCATCATGCTGATGGTGATGAATTCCCAGCTAGAATGATACCAGGATTGTTGGAATCTTACAATACATTTAACTAATTATGTTAATGCCAAAACAACTAGATTTAGTGTAGTAATTATGTAGTAGTTTATTATTCTCCTTTTCCTAGCTATTTTTCCTGTGTGTTTATTTCAATTTAGTTGACTAAGTTTGTAGTGACAAATATTGACTAAATATAATTGAGTTGACCAAAATTTTTTGGTGATATTTGTGGATGTACGAATCAGTAAAGGGCTTCAAATTTATGCCATTGCAATGCTTTTATGCATGATGCTTGTATGATAAACCAAATGGCAACTATTATCATAAATTCTTATTTCACTCAAAATGTTTTTAGCCAAAACTATACTCTCACAGTGTTTCTGTAAATCTTTGTATGTCATCATCTGATTCATCATCAGAGCTCTCCTCATATGTGATGGTACCACCACCTGATACAATACTGCTTGAATCTGAGCCTGTGCCATAGTTAATTGGTGATCCTAGTTTGCTAATGGTCCTGGCCTTTGTCTATGCCAAATAAATTTAAATGACACTTATGCATCTAGGCTATTTGTACCTTTTGACCTCTCTTTGTCACCCAGTCCAGTAGAATAAATGCAAAAGTTACAGTTAATCCAAGACCAGAAGCAAAAAAAGGAACATAAACCATTACATTTCTATAATGATTTTCTAATCTAAAATTGAACAATTGAAAACAAGTTTTTCATTTGTTATCTTACTCATCTGGGTCACTATTTTCTGGTACTATGTGTTGAATAACACTAACTATGATTCCATTTGAAATACGATCAACAAACAATATCCAACCATACACAAAAGCACTGCTGCCCTAAATTTAGATTACTGACAAGAACTCTACAAGTCTACACATACTTTGAATTTTCCTACCAAGAATGAGATTCTACTGAGGCCAATCACTACAGTCATAGCACCTCCAACACCCAACAGCACAGTAGCAATGAAAATGCAGTCACGGCTCCAATTAAAGTGTGAAGACATATCATCTGTGGGACTCTTAGTCCAAAAAAATATACTATTAAAGTGTCACAAAATTAAAGTTAAAATACTGAATCTTGTGTACTTACACAGATCCCCAAACTACTGCCATACCAATGAAATAAGTCATCTAAAAAATTAAAAGATTGAAGAAATAGCAAAAATCATTTTGATTTCACACCTCATAGTGAGATTTTATGCATTCTTGATGATAACTTGAATTAACATTGTAGTGAAACCTTTCAACAGTGGACACATTGGAATAAGATAAGTTTTCTATACTACATTATTGATTTATTATTGCAATTATATAATACTTGAGCATTAAAACAAGTGTCTTGCATACATCAGTTAGCTTGGGAATGTTAGAAAGAGTGTCCGTCGTCAGGTTCCAATTAATTTATATTTTTTGTTAATTCTTATCATTGATAGAAGTAACTTTTTATAACTTCAATAAAAAACTTTGCAATAAAGCTAATGTTACAAAAACCATCTTCATAAATCCTCTTTTATTGCCAAAAATAGGTGCAATGAAAATGACAATTTGGGCTCACACATGAGCTCAGTGCTTCAATACTTGTTAGCAAAATGGTAATACAACATTGAAGACTAAAACTATGACCCCTGAGCTATGCAATATTACTACTGAGGAGCTAATTTTATTTCAAGGCACAAAAATTATACACAAATACTGGTATGATTGATGCTAAAAAATTGATCTACAAGCTGCATATTTTGTAAACATCTGTGATAATGAACATTGAGTAAAAATTTATTTAAAAGGCTATAAGCTTGCATTTTGAATTCACAAAAATAGTGAGTTACTTGCTGGCAATGCATGTGCATATGAATTAAAATTTTGTGTCACAATAATTAATATCAGATTGTGGGGCTATTATACCAAGTAATTATGGCTTACATTATCTCCAATGATCCCTCTACATCTTTTTATCACAAGTGTTGTAAAAAAGCTACTGATATAAAGTATCAACGGTCCTATTGCAATGGAACTCTATTACATGATAGAAAGTATAAACTAATAATTAATGATATGATTTTTACTTTAGACATTTTCAAAGTAATTGTAAAATAATGCGGCATATAAGTCTGAGGCACCAACACAATTATTCTTGCTCCTATTAGACACAAGGCTGTCTGCAGAAATTAAAAAAATTAAAAACACTGTGATGAACAAAATAGTCAGCTAAAATACATAGTTTTGGTGCTATAATAGCAACAATAGCTATAATTATTATTTCAAAAAAGACAGAATAAATAAATAATTGAGAGCAAAAGAATGTGCCACATTTGTGGTGGCATGTGGAAGTCTTTATGTGCTATACATTAATAACAGCATGTCTTACATCCAATAAAGTGATAATAGCTGAATAGGCAGAATGTACATAAAAATCAGATGACAAGTTAGGAAGTGGTCCGAAAATGCATTATTAATAATACATGTATGTGAAAAGAGTGAGGTCATTTTCATACTGTAGTATCATTAACATCTAAGGCATAAAGCATACTGAAAGTCATGAGACTAAGATAAATAGCTTATTCTCGTGACCCAATAGGTCACTATTAATACATGACAGGTGCACTGCAGCAGAGCCTGAGGGAAGGGCTGATGTAGGAAAGGTAAACTACTCTACTGCACTTTCACTATGGGATACAAACATCTCAGGCATAAAGAATGAAAGTCATAAGACTAAGATAAAGCTTATTCTCATGACCCAATACCAGAGAAAGGTCACTATTAATACATGACAGGTGCTCTGTAGCAGAGAGGGAAGGGCTGATGAATAGGGCATGTAAACTAATTCCACTGCACTTTCACTATGGGCCACAAACAGTTTACATAGGAAGCCAAATTGATGCACTGTCCAATAAAAGAGCATACCTGGTATTTGATAATAGAATTGTATCTTAGTGTACAACTTACAAGATAAAATCTTGGGTTAACAATCCATTTGTACCAAGTTTGCTTTGCTAGATTAACATTTACTTTCTCAGGAATCAAAAACTGAAAGAGGAGGGAGGAGGGAAATCCTAATCCAATAACAACTGCTGACATAATCTAAATAAAAATACTAGCTCTTATTTAAATTTCTTTTTATGATTTTAATAATTAAAATTTTTAAGTTGGCAGACAGCACTATACTGTATACTAATATATTTTTGCAGTAGATAACTTTCATGAATCTTGCATTTCTAAGATTTTGTGGAATTAATTTTCATGAATAGCTTGCTGACTGCACCATGTGGCAATGGAGATACAGAAGTTTGTGGTGGAAAATGTTTGTGCCCGAGCAAAAAAACATAAAATTCAAGAAAGAATTTTGCTGTGAAAAAAAATCAGTATATATATGGTAATGAAGAGTATGATAGAAGGCATCAATTCCAAGAGGAAAATCATATTGCACTCATGCATGCTTGTATAGATTTATCATAACATATAATTGTTTACCAAGAATATGTTAAGATCATCAGGTGTCAATGGTGTATCTCCTGTATTTTTGTCACTGTCATCAGAATAAAACTTTAAGAGCAACCAAAAGCATCCAAAAACAACAAGGCTTGCAATGATAGTAAAACTATATCTAATAAAAGTGATCAAAATTGATTTAGAAATATATCTTACCTCAATGAATTCAATTGGACTTGGGTTCTTTTTTGAACACAAATTTCAGGAAGGAGGGCTAACTGGCCAATTTGAACTGATGCCCAGCTAAATTGAAAAATTATAGCAAAGCAACAAAAATAAATAACTTGGTACACCTCGGATGCATGACTGCACCCAAGGCATTTGTACCACAAGAAGAACATCACTAATGCAAGTGTGATAAGGCCAATCAGGTGGAATATTTTCCTTCTCCCTGGAATTTTACAAGAACATTTATCAGACCACATCCCTACTAAAGGCGTTGATATAGCTCCCCCTACTTGAGCAATCAGGACAATGTTGCCAGCATTTTTAGCTGAGAGTCCCAAAACAAATTGAAAAAAAGAGACATTGTATGGAAACCAGACAGCAATAGCAAGAACGGTAAAGAAATTGCCTAAGGCGTATGCTATCTTTCTGTGTGGCCTCAATAGTTGCCTCTCAGCGTCAGCTTCATCTTCAGTGACATTTACCGACCTCTCCATAATTGTCTACGATTGCTGTGGTTGGCGCCGCCAAGCCCAGCCCCCAGAAAGAACGTACGCGTAGGTTGTATAAAAAGCATAAGCCTAAGTAAAAACACAGTCAGACCATAGATAGACGATGACCTTTTCTAATTAGATCTATTGACTCTTTTCTTTGGATCCTTGTTCTTAACAAAGTAAGTAAATAATAAATCATGCACGCCTACACGATGCATAAAAAATGATTTCTCCGCTGGAAGTGACTACTGACTGGACTAGACCTATATCAGCCTAGACTATAGATAGTCTACAGATCCACGGTAACCAGTAGTGCAGTAAATTACCTCAGACAAAAAAAAACTAAAATTACTGAGAGCTCGAAAGAATAGTGTGTTGGTGACGCAAGTGAATCTCAGACTTCGGGTAAAATAACAGAATGTAATTAGATCTAGAATTTTTACCAAAATTGGTCAGAGTGTACTGAATACCAAATTAATACTGGTCCAGGGAAAATTCTCTCAATCTACCTCAGTATATAACTACCGTAGTACAAATGTATAGCCCCTTGATTATGTGCATACACTTTAGACAAGTGTGATAGTGATGGTTTCCCAGTATAGTGCTTAGCTTCTTGCCAACTAGCTCATGAGGTGCTGTTTAGTCGCTCAGTAGAACTTTGTAAAACCCTGACACTTTGTCAAAAGTGGCTGGGAAAGATTTCTTCAATTTTATGATTTATCTGATGCATAGATTTGATTCTAATTTACAAAACCTGCTAGTGTAATTGTATGTCAGGTTTTGTAATTGACCCCAGGTCTGCATTGCATGTAGATTTACCTAGCAAATTGGGCTGTTTGTTTAATTTGACCACAAACACAAAAACATTCCTCACTTTAGATAGTCCTTTTAGAGTTTGTATAGGTTTGTGAGGTTATGTTATAGTTTGCAAGCTAGGTCTCAGGTTGCAAATAGCAGTACTTTTGTATGCTTGCATAAAGGTAGTCAGAAATGTATTATAAATGAACGTGGGCTGATTAATGATGTAACTGAATTTTTGCACAATTGTAGCTGCTCAGTAACTTACCTCATTATCATTTTTTTTAGGTAGACTGAAAAATGATTCGTTTGATTTTGAAAGCAAAGAGTGTACTGCAGTCTCATTCAACATTACAATGCAAAGCAGCTATGTTAAGTTACTCACCAAAAGGGTCACCATTGTCACCACCTATGATGAGGTCTTGTTTTTTTACAAAAAAAACTCGACAAGGGCTAGAATGTGTAAAGAAGTATCAGCCAGATAGTGTAATTCTTGATCTTGAAGATTCAGTTCAGTTGCATGAAAAACCCTCCATTAGAAAGCTGTATTTGAATGGCATTAAAGATGGCCTTTTCTCTGGCATTAGTGTTTATGTCAGGAGCAGCTCAATAGATTGTACAAGTGAATTTATTGAGGATATTAAAACTTTCACTGGGATTGGAATAGCAGGCTTTCTTTTACCAAAAGTTGAGAATCGAGAAAGTGTACTGGAAGCAGAAAAGGTAATACTACATTACGAGGACGAGAAAGGACTTGAAAAGAATAGTCATACTTTCTCAATAATCATAGAAACTCCAGCTGCTTTCTTTGAAGTACAAAGCATCCTATCATCATCTAAACGTATTTCTTCAGTTATTTGTGGTAGTGGAGATTTTACAGCCGAAGCTCTTTGTGATGATCACTCTCCTACATATGATGCATTTTTTACACAAGTTGCTCTTGCTGCAAAGGCAACAAAGAAAGTTGCTATATGGGGTGTTCATGACAAACTTGATGATTATATAGGCTTCCAGAGCAATTGTTTTAAAATGAAGAGTTGCGGATACAATGGGGTTGTTGCCTTGACGCCAAAACAAATTTTACTGGCAAACCAAGTCTATTCTCTTTCTCATAGCGAAAAGGACTGGACCGAGAGAGTGTTGAAAAAATCTATGCACATTAATACGATTCGTAAATCAGTTCAAGAAAGTCGGCAAATGATAGGTCCTCCTCATAGATTAAAGGCTAATAATATCCTTGCTAGCAGAGTAGAAATGGGAGCGATTCCTTCTAAGTCGATTCGAGGTCATGCTGCTTCTTCTAAAGGAATATGTGCTGACCTGGCAATTGGTGAAATAGTGCCTGCACCTCGTGAAGTTTTCATTACTGACAGTTGGAAAACAACTTGGGAGAGCTCATTCATTAGTTCTAGAAGGTGTTACAATAAAAAGAATGATGCATGCATTCCATTTGCATTAGCTGCAACATTAGCAGTTGCTTTTTCTGTATCTAATCTCTCTTACTATGCAAGAGTTCACCTCGGTTTCAAGAATATATTTCAACATAGGCCTCTCCTAACAGGTGACAGGGTACGTGCTATGTTTCGAATTGACTCTATCAAGTCAAAGAAAGGGAGTGATAGCATTCAATATTCAGTGGTTCATTCAACACATTGGCTGGTCAATCAAAAAGATGAAATAGTTTTACAGCTAGAAAAAATAACCATGTTCCAGCCTGAGGATTGTTCAATGAAAATTTCCACAGACACAAAAACCAAAACATTTCATCCACTGGATTCAATTCTTAGGAAGTCAATTCTAGAGCAACCCTCAGATACTTTAATTCCTCGTTCATCACAAAAGAATTTAATCCCAGGCCAACTCCTCATACATGATCTAGTCAAGGTTATGGGCCATTCTGAGACTCGTATGCTCTGTACTTTACTTCATATTGTGAATCCACATCATCACAGTATTGTACGCTATCAACATACTGATCTACTAATACCAGGGCCCTTTGTCATGTCAGCTGGAATGAGTCTTGCAGATCAAGATATTGGTGAGATAATTTATGAAGATATACCTGTTTGTATCAACCCCAATAAGGTTAATTTTGGTGACCAGCTTGGGGTCATGACTTTCATTGTTGATAGGAATGATGTCAGTGGTGCTCCTGAATATGAAGAAATAACGCTGAAGCATTTCGTCTTGAAGAATACAAGCATGGAATTACTTAGAGAAATTGATGTTCCTATTAAGCTTTTTGAAAATGGCCACATGAAGCCATCTGAATACGAGCATTTGTGTGCATCACAGTGTCCTGTCTTATTGCATAAAATTGCTTGTGTGACAACTAGAAGAATAATACGAGTAAGGCCTGATATTTACTCCTGTCATAAAGTACCAAGTGAACTCATTATGAACTGACAGAACCTAACTAGGCTATTTTGTATTGTACTAAAATGACTGAGCTTGAGTGTTTAATTATAATAAGTAGGTCTAGTTTTATTGTGTGTTTTGTGTTATCAGCCAGTAGGCATGCACATATCAATTTTTGTGCAGTTTCATTTTTGAATTTAACTTGTACTTATTAAAACTATTATAGATTCCATTGGCAATCATCACAGCTGTTTGTTTACATACCATACACAGTCAAAACAGTCTTAATTTATTACTAAGAATACGTAGGCTGGTAGCAATGATCACATGACTCTTGCCAGCTCAACAGTTTCAGTCCACTGACCTTTTTGCTGTAAGTTCTTAATTTAAATTTGAGCAATGTTGACTAGAGTCATACATATGACTAGTCTAGATCAAGATCTATATGACTCATACTACATCTAAGACTAATCTATGTTTTAAAATAATGAGCTAGTCTATTACGCATTATGGTAATACAATAGATATATATGCATGTCATATATTATTTAGGTATTATGTACTCTAGCTTGGTATTATGTACTCTTTGTGATTGGCATCACTTTTGTTTTAGGTCTACTATCTTGGACAATTCCCAAAAATTTTGAAAAAAGAAAATGAATAGAACTGAAGTTACTGAGCAATCAAGAACCAGTCAGTAAAATTATTATTGTCAATGTCTCATTAATATTTAACCATTATTTTGTAGAGTTCTGTTGTCAAATTAATATTATATTTTGCTACTGTCTTGTCACTTTATTTTTTTTATTTGGCTTGTTGATTATTTTTGCTATAACGCCACAGCCTTATTCCTCTCAGTTATTTATTGGAGATGTTTTAATGAATACTTCCAGTCTTATTACTGTTTCATCATCAATTGCAGTAGTTGATATAACATTTGATGTATTTGTTAGTAGAATATATATGGCTGAGACCAATCCGCCTATGCGTTTGGACTACCTTTCAGAAATTGAAATAATTACTGATGAATATGACATTCAGGATTATAATTATCTCGGAAAAAGTGATCCTATTTATTTGCTGGCGGGTTCAAAAATAATATATAATACATACATTGAAACAGACAGAGTTTATAATTCGTCAATCAAAGTGGCTTGTTTTTTCCTTTTTGATAATCCTACTAATTTTGCAAATTACATTCTATTTGGAAAAAAACATGAAGTCAAGAAAACTAAGTGTTTTACAATGAATACTACCACTACCAATTGGTCGTTTGACATTACTTATGAATCACAGTACTATGTAGGTGTTTCATTTGAGAAAGGTGTTACTGTAGCTAGTAATGTGTCCATCATTCGTAGCTACTATGATTTATCACAAATAACATCAGAAGCTTTCTGCGTTGATTCAATGTCCTGTACCATAAGAACATGTGAAAGCATTTGTAATAAAAAATCAGAATCATATATTATCATTGAAACCTCCCACAGTACCAATATGTCTTATACTGTAACAAGTGCAGATCTACATGGGGATAGACTGGTAGCATTTATAACTTTTCTGGTATTGTATCCCATTTTGATATTGTGTTATCTGGTTTGTTGTATCTGTCTATGCCCATGTTGTTCTTTCACTCACTCATGGAAAAACCGCAATTATTCTTCTGTAAGATATGCCATGATTGAAAATTCACCTGAAAGTAGTCCTCGTAGCTCATCTACTAATGTGTCATCAGTGATGATAAGAAATGAAGGACAAATCGAAGAAAACTCTTTAGATATTTTTTCAACAAATAAAGAAATGTGGCATAGTTCCTCAATAACCAATTCAGATGATGCTCTTTTAGAAAGTTGCAATAAGTGTTATCCAAATGAATGTCTATGTCATAATACTATGATGCAGCAAATTAAACTGAACACGAAACAGCAGCTACATCTACCGCCCAATGCTACGATAATGCAAGATTATTAAGTGAACCACAAATGTCTACTGATACTTGTGTTATGTCTCCAGTAGTATCTGGCACTCATCAATATTACCCACGTACATTTATCAAAAGCAGACTATGAGTGTGATATTTTTGAACCTCAGTCAACTGAATCTACATCTTTAATGGAGTCTGATATTGAATTATTAGCTCAAAGCAGCCCACTTTTAATTCCTCTTCATCAAAATACCTTTGAACTTGAAGTCCACAGCATTGAAACAGTGACTATGGCCACAGAACAAGGTAGCTATGCATGTTACTGTGTTCTCCATTTTAGATTTCAATTTATTGCCAATAGATCAAAGAATGGAATCTAGTCTTGAGAATGATGTTGATCCTAATGAGAGAGCCCATGAAAGTTTGCTGCATCTAAATTTTGATGGCTCAACTCATGGTAAGTTTAATTCCTTTTATTATTACTGGTATGTTTTGTCTTAAGGTGAGCTAATGCCCCAACAATGCATTGAGCCAAGTTTAATTGTTCCAATAGAAGAAGTGCTTGAAAAAGCAAGAAGTAAAAGCAAAGCAATTAATGCATTTATGATTGCATGTATGTGTATACTTTACAGGTGTGTTTGGTAATCTGATCCAGTTATCAGTAGACAGCAAAGGTTTAGTCTACCACTGTGATCAGTATGGTTCAACTCTTGTTATTCCAGAGGGAGCAGTACAACAAACAGCTACTGTTTGGTTTGGATCGTGTTTTTTCAGTGATAAGTTTAAGTTTGGCAATTATGTACCAGTTACTCCTATTGTATGGGTATATATTAATCAAAAATTGCATAAATGTGCAGAATTGTATGTTACACATGATACTGATATTTCCAGTGAGGCTGACTTATGTCAATTTACTATCTTAACTGCTGATGATAATAGCCATTCTGGAACATTTGAGTTTTACCAAAAGCAGAATTCAATACTTCAAGCTCATTCAGGTTTTGAGCAGGTCTTCAAAATACAGTGTTCACATTTCTGTTCAAACTGTGTTGCTGTTCACAAAAGACAATACAAAGCCATTTCCAAACGCTATCTAATAGCAAGAGCTGAGAAAAGAGAAAAAAATAGTAATTACATTATTGAGTTTATTTTTATATGTCAGCAGCAAGGCTGTAGAAAGGTTAGTTTTAAATTAATTATTGTTTTAGTAACAGACTTTAATTTAAATTTAGATGATTGAAGGTCAGTGTGCTAAGGAAGGATTTATGATAACATCTTATAAAGCAGTAACTTTTACTGGTGATGGTAGAGTATCTCTTTTATTTGAGCCTGATACCTTCATTGGTTGGAAAAGACATTATGATCATCTGGAGAGTGAATATGTATGTTTAAATTGTTTGTATTTTAAATTGTTAAGTATTACAGATTTCAGCAGAAAGTATAGATTACTACAAAATAATGGGATGTGAGAACGTTGGAGAAGTGACAGAAGATGAACTTGAACGACTTGACCTATTGGAAGACACACTTTCATATCCTCCTCGATTTAGGATTCAGTTTTCACGGGAAGATGTATTTGCTAGTAATCAAGAAGTGGTAATCACGTTCAATCAGGTTCACCCGTCAGTCTCAAGTAAAATATTGTTAGAGAGCAATGGGATTGTGCAAACTTTGTCACCACCATCTTCATGTTCTTCAGCATCATCAAACACTTGTTCTATTGATTCATTCTCTATAGGTAAGTTGCTAATATTATGTTACTATTTTTAATAACTTTTCATTTAGAAAATGATCCTGATTTAGGGGATATACTTCATATTATTACCTCTGAGAATTATTTAAATAATAATTGGTATGCATTCGGTTATTATCTTAAACTAGATACTGGTCTGCTCAATGAGATTGAAACACTGTGCACTAGCACTATTCAGTGTACTAGACGAACAATACTTCATTGGAGAAACAAAAACAAAACAGGCTTAAACATTCCAGGATACATTTCATGGGAGCCTTTAGCAATAGCTCTTGTAAAGGTTGGGTTTCCCAATTTAGCCCACAAAATTAAAGATCATTTTCAAGCACCTCCAGAGCCTGAGTTTGATCCATGTTTCACTACCCAGGGTTACAATGGAATTTATTGTTCACTTTGTGATGATTATCACCTTAATTTTGAGGAATTGAAGCAACATGTACCAAGTGAGTTACAAACTAGAAGTCTCAGTTTTATTGTACGAATTTAACATGCATACAGGTACTATACTGAACAGTCCTCCAATTGTACTTGATGTTATTAACATGGTAGCTAAAAAAATTGAAGACAAGTATTATTTGTTTGGATTAGCAGTTGGTTTAAATGATGGTTACTTGAGAAGTCTCATGACTGATTATCCTACTTGTCTTGATAGGTTCATTGCAGTTCTTGATAGATGGAAGAACAATGATCCAGATAATTTTAAATGGAGTACTATTATTGAAATATTGCTGTCAGATGCTATTGGAGCTGCAGGAGTAGCTAAAGATGTCATGAAATATCTCACCATTGAAAAATGAGCCTAATTTTGCTCTTATTACTCTTGCAAGAGTTTAATATTACATTTTTCATGCATCATGGTTTTATAATTACTCAAAAGGTACTTAGAAATTACTGAACACATGAATCATGACTGGCCATGAGCCTGAGCCTGAGCCATTGCGGTACCTTGCTGTTATCTATGCATAGGAGAATCATCTAGTTGGGGTGGAGCATAGGCGTGGTTTTAATCATAGATATTAAAAATGGCCAGAAATCAGGAAAAAGCAATGTAAGTAAAATGATTACAGAAATAAAATCCGACTACCATTTTCTCATAAAAATTTAGGCTCTTATTGAACAGATATTGGTCAGCCAAAAAAGATGAGGGAAAAATTCGGGTGAATACTTTAGTTTCATTATGAAGATGATTGTATATTATTCATGTTGTGTATTTATAATGAGCCCTGTTGGGATTCAAGCAGGCATTTGGTACACATGAAAAATTGTATTGTTAAGTGTATAGATTGGACTGAGGTTAATAATGTGTCAGTTTGAGAAACCGCCATTGACTAGCAAACTAAATCAAGTTGCTGGAATTAGCTATTGACCTCCTCTTGGTTGCATTTTCATTAATGATGCTGTTCTGTTGTTAACTAAATTTCAAAATTATTGGTACATGTATTATTAGAGCAGTTTTCATTGTTATTTTGCTTCAAAATTTAGATTATTTATAGTATTTTATTTTAACTATGACCTATAACTGAAATTTAGAAGGGCTATTTATAGCTTTAATTATAATGTAGTTTCTTAATTAATCAAATTTTTGTTAACAATCAAGCAAGAAACAAAACAGTAGTATAAATTAAGTATAGAATGTTAAATCCACATTCTACACATTGTGACAGTAAATAAGTGAGCTGTATTATGTTACTTTAGGAGCGTCGACCTTATTTAGCTAGTGAATGTGATAGTCTGGAAAAGGCTGAAAAATTTCGTTTCAATATAATAGGAGAAATATCAAGAAAAGTGACACAAATACAGAACCGTATGTATTCATTTTTTATGCTCTTTGATTTTTTTAATCAAATTTTAGCTGGTCTAGGTGAATTCAGGATAAGAGATCTAAATGATGAAATAAACAAGCTTATAAGAGAAAAGAGACATTGGGAGGAACGCATATTGGAGTTAGGTGGACCTGATTATAATGTAAGTTTAAAAGAATAATTGTAAATATGTGTGTCAAATTCAATTTAGAGGCATGGTCCAAAGATGATCGACCATGAAGGCAAAGAGGTGCCTGGCAACCGTGGCTACAAGTACTTTGGTGCTGCTCGTGACTTACCTGGTGTGAGGGAGCTCTTTGAAAAGAAACGTGAGTTGCAATATACTCATTAAAGTCATTGATTATTATGCATTTAGCTGCAAAGCCAGCTCGTCTAACACGTGGTGATCTTGCTCGTCGTGTTAATGCTGATTATTATGGTTACCGGGATGAAGATGATGGTGTAATTGTAGCATTGGAAGAGGAAGAAGAAAAGAAAGGTGAGAATAGTGCTTGTGTAATTTTGTGTCACTTCACAAAGGTTACATTTCTTGATGGTGTAAATTATCTTTTTAAATTTTTATCATGGTAGATTAAAACAGCTTGGTCCACTAGCTACTTATCAATGATATTTTATGATAAATTTTGCACAAAATAGATGTACATGTATATAAACCTTGTGTGTGTAATAGTATGCTGTAGTTACGAGATATATTATTTATATGTATATCAGAAAATAGTGTAAAGCTTTGCTGTTAGTGGTAGCACTTGCTGTCATATGGCATTAATATTTTTAACTTAATCATTGAACCTGTTTTCTACAGCTATTCAAAAAGTCAAATCACAGTGGGAAAGCCAAGAGAAAGTTCAGGCTATTATTGAAGATGAGATTGATATATATGCTCAGTCTGAGACTATTGTTCCTTCAGATGAAGAGGGAATAGATGTTGAATGGGAAGAAGGAGATGAGAATGATTCTGTACCGTCGCAACAAGAAATTGAAGAAATGCTTGTCCGTCGAAGGAAGAAGGTAATATGATTAAAATTATTGCCTCATTTTGTGTTGTTGCAGGAACTCTTAGAGAAATATACCAGTGAAATGCTAGTGCAACAGAGCGAAACATCAAAGGCATTGTTAGGACTAACATAAAAATGAACTACATCTGAGGATTTTATGTAACTTGTAATTATAAATTTTTTGATGATAGTCAGAGATAAAGTTACATCATAATAGTGATTGAATTATGTCTTTGTTTCCCTCAAAGCATGCTAATGAGCTAGACAGCATGCTTCAGAAGCTGACAATTAAGTATGTGGTTTTGGAGCATCTTTAAAAATTCTCTCCAAACTATTGTTAATTTGTTATTCAAAATAATTGCGAAGTTTATATGTTTGTATATCTATGATTTAAATTAAATTCAAAGGTGTGGTCGTGCACGCCTACATGCTGAGCCAGAAATAGTCTCAACTCTCAAGTCTCTAATTGGCCTTGGCGCGCAGTTGGCACTCTTTTCTCCAAGCTCCTTCTAAGATGCTGAACCCGAGGATAAATCTTGTTATCTTGAACAGTAAGGACATTGTAATAATTTATTATTGTGTCGTCATTGCTTTTGATGGTTTGTCCGTGATAAGGCATGTTTATAAGGGCTTGTAATTTTATCCTTTGTCTTATCTGTGATGATGCATATCTTCTTTTTTAATGCCATTTCCTCTGAATTTGTTTTATCACACAAGCTAGGGCACAATAGAAACATTTGCATTTTGATTGAAAATAACTGGTCTAAATGTCTTTTTGTTATTAGTATTTAACCCATACCTTCTTTATGTAATTTTTTCTCTTTCCTATTTTAATTTGTCTATTTTATTTTATTATCATTTTGCTATACCGTATATGGCATATATTTTGTGGGGATTAAATTTCACGATTTTTGTGTTTTGGAAAAATTCGTGAAATTAAAATCTGCAAAATAGCATGCTGATTGTATAGTAGGTGTTGTAATTACATTAAAATCGCAAAAATTTTTATTCGCGAATAGAAAAATGCAGTCAATTTGCAAAATTTTATACCCGTGAAATATATGCCGTATGGTATTTTGGCTGTTATATGATTAGATAAAGTTGACCTTCAACTATCAATCTATTCTTTCCTGTTTGTGTTCTATTACTGTATACATGTAGCTCCAAATTTTTGTTGGCAAATTTCATCAAATTTGTCAAAAATTATTGCTTGACAAAATTTTTTGCTTCATATGTAAATTTATGATTATAACAAAAATTTTATTGAGAATAACAAGAAATTAAGATTTTGAAGAAATTTCTGACTGACGAAAATTTGGAACGATGCTGTATGCATTTAGTTTTAAACTTAAATAACATACAATGTAGATAACAATACATACACGTACATGTACATGTGACAGGTGGGTTCTTTATTTATACTGTACATGTACATTTGCATAGTTGACTTGAAGTGTTGCTAATGGTATGTCAGAAACTGTCTGCACGTTTGTTACCTTTTTTGTTGCTATAGCATGGTTTGCATGCTGTAGCAACAAAAATGCAACAAAAAAGCAATGCATTGTATTGAGAATCCATCTTGACACATTAGTTAGTTGAACAAATTAGGCATCATTACATCTTATCATATTTTTTGTTGGTATGGTGTTTTGTTCACAAGTCACAACACTTACATTGTGTACTAGGCTACTAGACTTCTAGATCTACATGTATATGTAGAGTTGGAAATATTTGTGTGGGGTTTATTGTACACTTTGCGATTTTGTGCTAATAGAAGTACCGTATAGTGGGAAATTTTGGAAGGAATTAAATTTGGCGTTTTGATAGCTATTCGCCAAAATAAAAGCCACCATTTTGAGCCTTTATACGCATGTTCAATTGCACGTGGCCACTAATTTGCCAAATTAAAATCCGCCAATAACCAAAATTAGTAATTCGCCAAATTTTACTCCCTCCAAAATTTCCCGCTATACGGTATACAGAATTTAATTTGTGGAATGAAATTGTATATTTTTATAATGAACAAGAAACCACAAAATTAAATTCCAGCATTTTCCCACTGCAAATGTAGAGTTATACATGTTAGTGCTTTCAGTAATTGTTTCTTCATTTTCTTTTTTAGTGTTTCTTCTATCAAATTTGATGGCAGCAGAGCATTGTGAACTGATAACATTAGAAGAACAATCCAGTGCTAGCTGCCAGCCATTCAGTGATTGTTCTGGACTGTTTTGTGCCGATGCCAAGAATACAAGCCACGTTCGTTTCACAGTTGATAATTGTGAAGACCCAGTACTAGTCAATGCTACTTTTCATCATATCGAAACTGTCAATCATGTCTTTAATGACTCCTCTAGAATCAGTTTGGAATCGCAACAAGAGGTGTCATGGAACATGTCGCGTAATGCATCTCACCTCTTTGTTCAAGTAATTACATTTGTACTGTACTATTTTGATAACGAGTTGTATTGATGATGCTTTAAATTTTATTTTTATGGAATAGTCCATGTACTTTTAATCAGATCTTGTGCATTGTTACGTGTATGTATGTCAATGTTGTAATATATGTACATGTACATGTACATTCACGCTGCAGGTACTTTTGATCTACTTACATGTATATGTACATGTATTTCTTCCAAAATTTAATTAAAACTATTATTTAATTGAATGAATAATGCTATGCAAGTCAATGTAAATTTAGTTTATGGCCTAATTTGTAGTGGATAAAACTTACCCACACTTATTGCTATATCATGCCAATCAACAAATTACTGTCAGTCAAGTTATATTAGCAATTTTTTCCAGCACCCAGCAATTACCATAGCTATCAGATGTGATTTTAATTTTAAAAGGTGCAATATTAAAGCAAAATGCCTTGCTGTAGTGGTTTTGAGTTGTTGTTCTTCATGCTGCTACTAACCCTTAATCAGACCTGTGAAAGGTGTGTCAACTGTCAAGCAAGTCATGGTAGTTGTCTGGGTGTGACTGAACGATCTCGTGCATTTACACTTGGTTTTTTTAACTTGCTTTGACCAGCTCTTTTCAGAACTACTCTACTCACCTGTAGATAGTGAATTGGATTGGAAATAGGAGCATGTATTATTATTAGAGGTGGGTTGGGATTTTTTGACTGATTTGGTAGCAAAAATCACTGATTTTCTTGCTTTATTTTTGAATAATTCCAAGAGAATACAATTTGTGCAAACAAAAGTCACATGCAATACTAATTAGTGTTTATGATTTCTGTTAATAGTTGTTGCATCACTCTTTAACTAAAAATACCATCTTTTCTCTCTTTGAGAGACTCATTTTGTTCTTGACCCATGAATAAGTATAACCATTTAAAGATCTTGAAATCTCCTATGGAATGAGCTGAGCAACTTCATCAATGGAGGAGATGGGAATACAATCAAAACACTGATGATTGTCACGTGGTAACCCAACCCGCATTTCCTGTTGCTATGCCCTGTGATTCACCATATCTTTTAAGTTTTCACCCATTCCAATATTGGCTTGGGTAGCCCATCAGCAAAGAGCTATGAGGTAGAGGTCCATACAAGCTAATGGATAGGTTTAGCTAATTATCTATTCTTTAGCAGCTTTAGTGGAACCATTCATAATAGCAGCTTGTTCTCTATTGGTCAATGTCATAGCAATGCTCTATAGGTTCCCATGGTATTTAATTGAACTTTTTATTATCGTGAAAATAAGCAGCAGAAAATTAGCTACTGTAACTACATTTAGCTTTAGTGTCTTAAATAATATTTTCATTCTTTTGTTTGTTAGAATTGAAAGTCACTTGTATGTAATGTTTTTCATGATATTTTAAGCATTATTTTATTATGCTGAGAGTGAGAGCACTTAGAGTCTTATGGTTTGTCCCCATTTTGCATCTGTTCAAGTAAAGTATTTAAACAGATGCAGTTGATATTGTACCCTTGCAGTTGTTATACAAGATGCATCATAGAATATGTTCTAGTTTACATTTTTTAGTTTTATATTTCGTCTATCATTGCGCACATTTCAAACAATTAGAAATGTATATGTTTGTCATCTTGATACTTACATTGTTACATTGTACATGTCGGTTTAGGTGTACATGCCTGTGTGTTAGTAATTTAAATTCATACTGTATGCATCATCATCACTTTTCTAAGTTGCATATTTTAAATGCAAAATTATAAATGCATGTAGCATGGGTCAGAAATTTTCTTGATTGTTATTAAAATTCCAGTTCACTGAATTTATATAACACTAGCTCATTTTGCAAATTTTTTTCACTAGTGCCTACCAGAAACAATTTCACAAAATTTTATCCCAACTAAGTATAAGTGCTGTAAAGTATTTAGCATGCTGGCTCAAATTAGAAATTATTTTTTATATAATTATGTTTGCTATTCATCCATGTACATTTATGATATTTTTTTTTATTTAGGCAACACTATTGAGCAATGGGACAACTAACACTCTTGTACCATTTGCTACAATTGGGCTCAATGCATCTGGGTGTATGTGTGATTCAATCAATGCTATTCCTGAGAGAGGAGTGTCTCCTTTTGAAACTGACTGTGTCAATAACACAGAGTGTACTGGACTGGAGTGTAACTTTACTATTGGCCCTGTTCATTATAAAATTGAAACTGAAGTCCAGTCTTGCGCTAATCCGCCTGGTTTTATTTTTCTCATCAGGAATGTAGATACTAATTTGATAATATTTAATCAATACTTTGATTCATCGAAGAATACGAGCATCCCTTTTGGACAAGCATCAATTCCTTTGGGTGTCACGGTTCATCACAGGAATTATTCAATGATTATTTCTGTAAGTACTATGGTTATGTGATATCATTATTTTGTATATTTTCACAAATAGATTTCAGTTACTACTCCTGCTAAAACATTTTACCTTGTTCCTGAATCTCAAATTATTTTGGATAAAACTCATTGTGAATCAAACGTTATTCCTACTAGATCAACAGCTGTCCCAAGTCCTTCTCCCAATTCTCCTACTGACCCTAAGATTTGTAATGCTTTAAAAAATATAGCGCAAAATCAACCGCAGTGTACTACAAATCCTGATTGTGATACAGTAATCTGTAATACTTTAAACTACGAAAGTCATTTTCAAGTTCTTCCTTGTCATGATCCTCCTGGACTTCATGTTAGGGTATACGATGAAAACGATGAATTAATCTATGATAATATCGTTACTAATTCGACTGAGGTTCCTTTATCTGAATCACTTGGTATTTCTTTGATGATTAATTTTCATAGCACTGATGTTGATACTTTAGAATTAGAGGTAATACATGTACATTTAACATGTTATTATTGCCAACCTTTTTTAAATACATGTACAAACCTTGTAGGTAAACCTTGTTACCGACATTGGTACTATTCCAGTTGTCCCTAAAACTCCAATTTCATATGACCATTGTTTATGCCTTAAAGATGCAAGTGGCTGTTCAGATGGCATCTTTTCAACAGTTTTTCCAACATCTTCCAGTAGCCCAGCTACAAGTAGTATCTATTCAACAGTTACTGCAACATCTTCCAGTACCCCAACTACAAGAAAAAATAAAATTGGTATGTGCTCTTATTGTTCATGTGCATGTACAATTTTACCCACTTTTAGACTGTCACTGGAATACTTATTGCTCTGGGGGCCTGTGTTTTTGATTTTATTTTAAAATTAGTGCAAGAACCTATTTACATGTAGAACATTTTAGACTGCCACTAGACTAGGATTCAGGCTGCATTTAGACAACAATGCTACAGAGAAGAAAATTCATAACACTTTCAGGTCCTTTTTGTGTTCTTATAATGGCTTATTTGTAAATGCAAGTATGATTGGGTACAAAACAATATTGATGGTACTGCTGTGTAAACTTATCCTTGGGTTTCCACTTTCCAGCATTGATAAAATTAAAAATAAGGGGCGGTGCCTACATGAATTCAATTGAATCTGACTTTTATATCAGTTTTTTGTAGATATGTGAAACTAATTCAGTGAAATCATTTTATGAGAATGCATGTACATGTAGCTATTGTATAAAAATTTAAGTAGAAAAAGTACACATTATTGAAAGACTTGAATGGTCAATTGTTGCTATTCTACAAATAGTAACTAGTGAAGGAGTACATTGAAGCTGTCATTTAAAAGCCTCTCACTATAGATACTATTGTGATAATGTATATGCTAATGCTTACATTATGCTGTTAATCCCTGATACAAGTACATTGTGTACATGTACATGACCATCCCTGATACTAGTGCATGTTTATATTAGTACACATACAATGTAAAACATGTGTTCAGGTATAGTAGTACAAAAATTATTGAGCTTGGGGGCAGTAGGTTAGCAAGCAATTAATTCAGTCTGTGTATGTGTAATTTGTAACATGCCCTGTATGTGTGACGTTTCTAATATTGGTAGATTTTGTGACTCACATTAGAATTATATGGTGTAGGTGACTAAAACAACTTTAATTTATTGCCAGAATTTAAGGATAGTTACATGCCTGAAATCTTGCTGAAATACATGTGTATGTCATGTTTTAAAATGGCAGTAATTTGGGTTAGAAAATTTACAATTTCATTTTTTTATATAATAGGATACGTCCTTGTCACTGAAATAGTGTCTCCTATTGTTTTCGTGTTTTCTGTCATCATTATATCAGCTGTGATTTTGATATGCTGCATTATTATTTTAAAGAAAAAACGATCAAGCCAAATCTCGTTCCACCGTTTGTCAGTTCAAGCTGATGATGATGACAATGCTGATTTGTAAAGAAACTTATTATTACATTCATAATTAATCATTATTCATTCATCATTACAATTTATTAATCATTCTTTTATTACATATTTTCATGCATAATTTACTGCTGTTTAATTCTTGTCAGATGTTGGTTTATTTTTGATGTTGTGCAGTAAAATATTACAAGTAGCAACAGTTGATACATTTGTAATTGTGAACTTACTTGTTTTCTGCATTTAGTCATTTTGTGTACCTTGCATGTACATTTATTTCATATAAGTGGTTCATGATATTGTTACTTGTATGTGATCATTTTTGATTATTAATTTGTTCATGCAATGTACAAGTAGACAATGTGCATCTATTTTTCTAAAGAATTACTACAAAATTGATAATTAACAATTACGCAAGCATGTAAAAACTAGTCTGAGATTTGTGTTTATTTATACAAATGTATCTGATCACAATGTATGTTCATTATCAATACTGAAGTCAAAAATCATGGACTCTCTTCTTGTAATAATATGTGATGGTGAGTACTGTGTTTCGTCTCTGCTGTTATCTTCCATCAGGTCAAACTCCTCCCAGGATCTAGCTCTGTTCTTTGAAAACTTCTTGCTTATGACTGCATGGCATTTCTTAATATGTACATGGACAAGAACTGTAATGTTGAAAGTAATGAAGCACAAACTAACTGATGCTGCAGTAATCGTAAGTGAAATCTCTTCATTCAATCCCATGTTACTAGAAAGCAAATTGAGTAATGTAACTAGTCCAAGATTAGAAAAATAAAAAGCTTCCAGAAAATTTAGAATATTGTAGCGATATATACCTCTTGACAGATACAGTGCAACGGAAGCAATGAAGATTATTATGTAATTGTTAACTTGAGGTATAGCGGTTGTAGTATAGGAAAATACTGGTGTTAGTATGAGGCGGACTATTAGAAAGAGGCCGGTCCAGAACCTGTACTTATCCTTGTATGGACCAACATATGCATCAATGAATGGCTTCAGTTTAACAACTGGATCACAAGAGCTTTTACTACAACACTTACCACTGTATCGCTGCAACCACTGAGCAGTAAACACCACTACTGTATACACTAGACCAACTGTTAAGAACAACATTGCTGTCACAAACAGTGGAATGTGTTTGGTACTTAAATAATCAATATTCCCATTGACACTCCACACTTTCACTTTAACGCCTTCACAGTTTATTGTCGAACTCATCAAAGACTTTGTAACTGTTTGAAGGAGTTTAGAATAAGACATTAGGATGAGAGTAGCCAAAACAGGAACTGCATTATTGCCACAGAGATGGCATATCCTAGTAGAATAATGAGAGCCAATTATTATTGCTCCCACTAGTAGCCAAATGTAAATAGGGAATGCATACTGTAGCCATGTTTTCCAATAGCCATCCATTCCATTGTAGAGACAAGTCTCAATACCAAGATCGAGATTAAGCCAAGCAATGAACTGACTCAGCACTGGTATACTGGCTCCATTGGGAAAGAAATAAACCTCATTGAGCTTGACAATATTAGCATAAAAGAGCAACCCATTAATACTACCAATAGACACAGTCATATTGCATACAGTTAGGAATGCCACTAATGCTATACCAACCACAATGAAAGCAATAGTAAGTGAAAGGTACTTGTTATCACAATAGTGACACCTATTAGAGCCTAGCATGAGACTGAGCCCTGCTTTGCATCCTCCACACAGGATGCCCGACCTCTCATGTGAACACTGGGTGTCTCCATCATTAAGACTAAGATATAAAGAAGAGACATTGCAGTAATCAAAAGGACAGTGTTTGTGAAGGACTGTGCAGTTATGCTCATGGTTATAGTACAACCAGTTATTGCCAGATCTTCTAATGGGATGAGGCATCCATTGGATATCACATTCAGCCACACCTGAATTATGAAGTGCATCATTGCACTGGCAGACTTTGGAAACCAATTCAAGACCAAGTGGACATTTGAAAAATGAAACATTAACAGTCAAATAGGAATTGTATAGGCGATATTGATTTTCAATGCTATCAAATCTATGCTTGATAAAAAAGGTGCCTTTTCTTTTGCTGGTGACCATTTTCAATTGATATGTGAAATATTTACACTCACGTTTTGTTTCTTGACTGTCACTGCTATTAAGCAGAACCTCAATGGTGCTGGTATTAGTGATTACAAGTACAGTTGGACTGATACCTCCGCACATTCCAACAGTCACTAATGGCAGGCTAATGTATTGACCAGGATATAACTGTTTGTGAATGAATCTTGCATTGCAATCAGTAGTAGTAGTAGTGTTATTAATACAAAGGCAGACACCGATTGGAGTTGATGTAATGTATGAGGAAAGAGGAGTTGGAAATTTTTGAAGATATATGTTAGCAGAGCAATTGATGGCTTCAGTGAATGGTGATGTCCTGATGTCTCTTCTAATAGTATTAAAAATATTTATTCCCTTGCATTTCCAAATTTTTCCATTATAAACATCATTTCCAGCTAGTAATGCATTATTGTTCATAAATATTGGTGTAAAATTCTGAAATGTGCAATCTTCAATTAGTGTTTCTATTTTGAGGACAGAAATATCAACATAAATGGCCCCTCCAACGCCATATGCTGTATTATTAATAAAATTCACTTCCACGTTACTTTTTAAAATGATACCTTTACCAATCTGCATTCCAGCACCATTATTAATGGATGTATTATTTATTAAGTTCGTAGGGTGGTCAGTAAAACTTAGAAGGCTCTGGCCATATGCATAAATTCCACAATTGCACTCAGATACTGTGACATTGATAAGATTTATGAGCCCACGGGGGCTTTTGTTATAAAGAAAATCTAATCCACATCCAGTTGAAACTCCTTTGATTGTAACATTGCTTAATGTAATGTTGTCACCATTTGATTGAAAGGATAAGCCTGTGTTGTTTGTTGCTGTTACATTAATTACTGAAATATTATTACCATTTTGCATGATAATGAACTGAGAAGCATGTATTTTATTCTTGATAGTGAGGTAATGACCATTTTGACTTATGAATACTTCTGCATATCCATCTACAATAATGTCTGAGAGCTTAATGTTGTCTTTGTTTTTGCTTATAAAAACCCCTTGAGATTGTTCATATGAAATTAAGTATATATGAGATATAAAGATGCCATTGTTATTGCCAATTACTGCCATCATGCTATTGATTATAGTAATACTTTCTAAAGTGATTCCATTGTAATTGTTGGCTACTGCCAGTCCTGATAGTTGTATTTCTGACGTTGGATCTAAGAATTTTCTTGCATTTGTCTTGTTGAATGAATCAGTTACATGTACTGTGACATTTTTGAGAGAAATGTTGTTTCTGTTTCTCATTATCAATCCTATTCCATTATAAACAGTCACATTACTGATCCTGATGTTGCTACCACTGTTTAGTACTGTAAATCCTGATGCATTCCATGGCTTATTATAAATTTCAGTTTCGAAAGTAATGATAAAGTTATTGTTAGAACCTACTACAATATTCCTGAGTGTAACATTTTTTCTGTTAAACATCACGTCCATCATACCAAGTACATATACATTGCTAACATCTATGTTATTGCCGTTGTGTCCCACAAATAATGCAACATCAGTATATAGCCCAGTAATACTCAAATTGCTGGTAATTTTTTCAACTGTAATTGTTCCACCAATTGCTTTGGTCTCCATAATGTTAACATTGTGGCTATTTGAGCTACCATCAATAAAAAGAAGAGAACACAAGAAACTTTCTAGTGTCAGGACATCACTTGTTTTTGTAGCTTTTACTGTGACATTTCTAATAGTGAAATGATTTCCAGTTATTTTTATTGTAATCTGTCCTTCATTTACAGCTAAATTGGTGATGCTTATGTCACTGCTACAATCATCCACTGAGAATAAGAATTCATTGCATGTTTTATTTTGATAAGCAGTGACTTCAAAATTGGAGATACTCAAATGACTGAAAATGCTTTTAAATTGAATTTCACCACCAGTTACTACTACATCTCTAACAGTTATGTAACTACTGTAGTGCCTCCCTTTAATTGTAAGTGCATAGCATCCATCACACCATATCCTTACATTGTTCAAATTTGAATGATTGCCTATCTGATCAATGTATATGCCATTACTTTTGCTGTTTGAAATCACAACATTTTCTAGTTGCACAGTAGCATTTTCAAAAAAAAGTGAATAGGGTAAGTATGATCCATAAAAACTTGTGTTGCATACCACAGCGTTACTAGATGACAAACTTACAGAATAAATCCCTTTTAAAATAACACCATACACCTCAATATTACTGTTGTTCACCAAATTAAGAAAGTCAAATTCTAAATTCTCAATTTTGATCATGTCAGAGTCTTGAATAATTACTGACATATTATAAAGCCTTGGTTTGTCCATGATACCTTCAGAATAGCTTCTCATTGCTATATATTTGAAGTGAGCAAAACTGTAAAAGTTACCAGGTATTACATGTATCCCTGGTAAAAAGATAAATGTAGAATTTGAAGGGAAAGATCGATTTGCATAATTTGAAAAAATATGGCATTCATAATTTGTGATGGAATGACAATCCTCACTACCACTTGCAACAAAAAAGAATGTGGTACTACTAATATCTTGAGAGACAACAATGGACACCAACAGAAATAAAGTGATCTATAAAAATACAATAAAATAATCATAATGATTCAGATCACTCACTATTTTAGTCATGATATTTTGAAAAAAAAAGATATTCTGTGCACTTGTTTTAACCAAAAGTGCTTTTTATTGATACTTATAATGATTATTTGCTTGTTGCAGTTTATTTTGTTTTATAATAACAATAAACTATCATTAGTTGACTTTAACAATACATAAACTTTTTGGAATAACATATTTACGTGTGGATTCACTCGAGAAACAGTATCAGTGCAGATACAATACCAGTAATATTAAATAGTGTAAACAACTAGATATGGATCAATCCTAAATTGATTAATTACGGTTTTATAGCACTCTGTGTAGTGATTAATTTTTTGCAACTACTTTCTCTTCCTCTTATTTCTCTGGATTTTTCTTATAAAATAGATCATAAAGTAATAGTATATAAATAATAGTTAATAATTAATAATGGAATAAAAAGCAAAAATGATGATAATGATTATGTGAATTATTTCTTTATTAAGAGCACAATGTTTAGACAATGGCATGAGCACTACCACTAATTTTAATTTTTACTTCCTACAAACAATATTAAAAATAATTTTCATTATTATTATTATTTCATTTACATTTTCAGTTTCGTCACAGTCTTCTGGACAAGGTAAGACTAATAAATCATTACTGCTCTGAATGGGAACCTGAAAAAATTGCACAATATAATACATGTAAATAATTATATTCCTTCAATTTCTCACTTGATAATGATATTCCACTAAATTGTCAATGCTGTTGTGAGGATTTGTCTCCCCACTTAATACATACTTACTGTTTGGCAGTTGTGATATTGATAAATGATTGATACTATCCTTAATTTTTGATCTGCAATAATAACAACAATGATAATAGCCTCCACCCTCTCTTTTTCATTACTTGTAGCTCAATATGTGACTGAATTTTTTTCTGTTAATTCTCACTAGAAATGTTCCATGTTGGTGTGGTTTCAGCATTTCCTCTGCTTTCTTTTGTGATATCATGCCGTGTAGCCAGGAGTGCGAGGAAGAGACGGAAGAACGAAGCATTCGTGACTGCTGGTGTCTAAATAAAAGGGAAATAATCTTAAAATATTGATATTTTGATCTTACGGTCTTTTAAGTTCAACTTTTACAAACATAGTGTCATCCATTTTTAATCTGGAGCTTTTCTTTCTCAGAGACTCAATTTTCTCTTCCTCTTCCTCATCATCCTAAAGTGAGAGAAGCAATAATGGTGTAATTATTATAGCATCTATCAGTGCAACTAACGGAGTCCAATAAAAGTGGAGGTGGTAATTCTCTGATGTCAGCAGGAGGAGGGAGCTTTGGTAGAAGGAAAGACAGTTGCTGTATAATTAGACTCTCTCTTTGATCATCTAAAAACATCAATATGAATTATTATGTTGTTACAAACTGCATCATTTTTTTTCATTAATTTTAACAAAAATTAAAGTATATATAGCTTGAAATTTTGGTAGAAAAAAATAAAAGTTTGTCAACTATGTAGATTTTTTATTACAGTACATGTATATATTTTACAAGCCACAAAATCCACAAATGCCGGAAAATTTTTAAAAATGTACTAAACTAATGATACATAGCTTACATACCCAAGTGTCTTTTTTCATCTTGATTGGTCAATCTCTCTAGCCTCCTCTCAACCTTACTGCAATTGTTTTTAGCATCTGCCATTAATTTTTTTATAGCTGCCTTATCCTGTTTCATTGCTTGCAACACTTTCTTATATCTTCTTCTTTGAATGAAACTAATAGCAACAGACTGTAGTCTGCTAGCTGCTAAATGATGCTCCTTCATTTTCCTCTCAAGCTTATCAAGGTGATAGTGGCGTAGGAACAGCTTTGAATAACTGAATATGAGAAGGATGACAAATGTATCAGCTGTTGTTAGTAATTGTAGCTAAACATACATTATGTATGTATCTGTGTATGCATGTATGTGTGTATGCATGTATGTATGTAGGGTAATACACGCATGTACAATCATGTGACATACATACCCTATCTGATATTCTGCATTAGTTATTCCAGACTCACATAATATCAACTGACAACTATAAAATAGAGTAATGACAGTAGCAGAATGTCACATACAAAAAACTTGGGGTCAATTACAATTGTAAGTGTAAGAAGGGGCTCAATTACAATTACATAATCGCAATTGAGGCTTAAGCCTCAACAGAATGCAATTAAAATTTTCAGTTTTAATAGCGTACTGACTACCAACTCAATGCAGCAGATGCAGGAAAATGCCCTTAATCTGCCTCAGTAGTTATGTACTTCACATTACATGATCATATGTACTGTATAGCGGGAAATTTTGGAGGGGCTAAAATTTGGCGAATTGCTAAATTTTAGTGATTGGCAGATTTTAATTTGGTGAATTTGTGGCCACGTGCCATTGACTATGCATATAATGGCTCAAAATGGCGGATTTTAATTTTGGCAAATGGCTATTAAAACGCCAAGTTCGCCAAATTTAATCTCCTCCAAAATTTCCCGCTATATATACGGTACATGCACTGTACACAAGTACTCAGCTTCATGCCTGCTCATGAGGTGCTGTTTAGCTTGCTTAGTAGAGCTTTCTAGAAAATCCTGATTTGTGGTATTTTGTCAAAAATGGCTAGAAGAAAATTCACCATTTTAATATTTTTCCTGATGCATACATGTTGTATTTATTTTGAGCTCATTCCAATCAATTTTGTATGAATTTTTAAGAATGCTAAAACATCTGGCCTGAGACGATTACTAGCATAAAAATTAAAAAAAAAAACAAGATTCCAAATGACCAACAAAAATATAAGACAAATTTTATTTTACATAGCAAGGTGATCCATAATTTTTTAAATAATAACTTGAAAGTACTGTGTAGAGTAAAATTTACATCACAAGAGTAGGATTTTAATTTTGTATTTTTGTTGGTCATTCGGAATTCTACGTAATCTTGTTTTTTTTAATTTTTATGTGTTTTAGATATTTTATTAAAAATAGCTCCAAGAGAATTCATCATAATTTTATGATAATATCAATAGTAATATCAGTAGTTTTTAAACCAATACTATTACTTTTAAAGGTTTTTAGCACTTTATTGTGTACATTTATGATAGGATCGATGGCAGCATATGGTTTATTGGTGTATGATGATTTATCAATGACTACTCATGATGTCAACTGCATAAGGTATAAAAAAAATAGGATGATACAATATTTTATAGTCCACTTCTGAATCCTAAAGGCACCTCATTTACCCAGTGTAGCTCTCATTGGCCGGCTGGTAATTTTCACTGCTAATAATAGATTCCTTTCTTATTTATTATAGCTGCAGATACTTTACATGCTATCTGCAGTCATGGTGAAGGCTAGTGGATGGTCCCTCTTCTGTTGAACGAAGAGTGAAAGTTTGCATCCGTAATACTTGGGGGACTGTGTGTAATTCTGGCTGGGGCACAATGAATGCTAATATAACCTGTCATTAACTTGGACATCAGAAATATGGTATAGTGGAAGAACACTCACCATGCAGTCTGCTTATTAGATATTAACAGGTGCAGAGCCAGTGTATTGGTCCGCTTATGGTAAAGGCTTTTATCCTCTTGCTCTGGCTGGTCTCGCTTGTAACGGAGAAGAGAGTAATCTCTTGAAGTGCAGCAGAAACTACTACTTACTACTACTGTCTTGTAATGGAGATTGAAGCTGCTGGTGCCAAGTTTGAAAGTAAAGGAATCTATCCTGTAATTTTTTACATGCAAATCTCATTGAGTTGGTAGGACTCTGTGATGAGCTATCAGTTTGTGTCATTGGTACTTCATATGCTAACATGGGATGTGTTGATTTGTGTAGGAACAGGATTTGACATAGAGTTTGCTCGTTTCCTCATGAAGCAGGTTCTGTAGTATGTAGACAATTAGGCTACTCGCCATAATGGTAAGAAAAATATTCAAATTTAAATTATGTTTATTTTTCATATATATTTCTTAGGTGTTGTAGTTATCAAGGAGAGGTTTTCTGGAGATGTTCAAGCATGTGTTGAAGACACGGACTCTGGAGTAATCTGCCGAAGTAGCACAATTTAGTATGATAAATACAGATATGTGTATATGCAACTATTGTATTAAAATAAAACTATTTATTTTGTAGGGGTCAATACTGTATATTCTAATTGCAGTCATGGTGAGGTTAGATTGACTGGTGGATGGTTGTATACTGACACAAGGAAGGATAGAGATCTATATTGATGGAGTATGGGGCACTGTCTGTGATAGAGGATAGGATACTGATGCTAATGTTGCATGTGCTCAACAAGGTCTTTATCCTTCAGGTATATGCACACATTAATGATGTTAATACATTGACAATTTGACATTATGCTCCGTCAAACTATACAATTTTATAGGAGATAGACATGTTATGGTGCTTTTTACGGTCAAGGATTAGGGCCAATCTTTCTATCTGGTTTAAAGTGTACTGGTATCGAGAATAATTTTTTGAACTGCAGTAGAGATGTATTAGATGCTGAAAATATGGTAGACACTATGAAGATGCTGGTGTAGCCTGTCAAGTTACACTATTATAATTACTATTATAATTACTATTATAATGGCATTTTATTTGTTAATTAATTTACTTGATTACAGGGTCATACCCAGTTATATTTAGTCACAGGTTTGGATCAATATTTGGCAGAGAACTAATATTTGTGTCTGGTCCTAGCTTTGAATTGAGTGATATTACAAAGTGTCTGTTTGGTATACTTGTGACTGATGGAGTCTACCTGACTGAGACTCAGTGTCTCTGTGTAGTACCACCAGCACATGATACTGGGTTGACTATTTGACTGATATTAGGATTACAATTAAGAGGAGTGAGGCTACTCTGAGTGGAATAACACAATACAGATACAGTTAGTGATATACTCAAAGCTATTATACATTGCTTGCTAATATTGTTGAGTGTTGACTATTATATTCATCATGCATGCATGATTGCACTTTCACTGTCATTCTTATGCATTTCCAGTTGATAATCAACAGTTGCTAATATATACTGTGGAGTTGACACTTTCAAAATAAACAATTTGTAAGGACTGTACATATATATCTTTATTTTCTTTGTAGTGCCAATAGAAAGTGTTATGCATATTAGACAACTTTGGTCATGGCTAAGAAACTTAAAGTAGTTTTCATTACCTCTTTTTCAGCTGTTTTAGTTCTTCTTTGGGATCATCTTTTGTCTTTTCAATTTGGTGCCGATTGGTATTTTTTGAAATCTAATTCTCATAGTAAATCTTTCTTTTACATTGGATTTCTATTTTATTTCTTTCATCCTTTCTTTGGTCTATTGGCTGATGTGTGGATTGGAAGATACAAAGCTATACTGATTGGCACAGTGCTATGTTTCATATCATGGATTATGTCTGGGATTGGATTCATCATACAAAGCTGTAATGGTCCTTATGAAGCACTTTGGTTAGTGTATAGCCTATCATCTTTGGTCCAGTATGTTGAAATAGCTTTGTTTACTGCTAACATTATTCAGTATACCATTGATCAACTTGTTGGAGCTTCAGCTGATGAACTAAACACAGTGATATATTGGCATTGCTTTGCCTTTCCAATGCAGTATTTTCTCCTTATCTTGGCTAACTGCCGTAATACTTATAAACATCTTAATTTGATCATATTTATACTATCAGGAGTAACTGTATCTCTTGTACTGGTGTCTCATTCATCCTTCAAACACAAACTGGAAAATATATCACTGATCAAGAATCCCATCAAACTAATAGTTAGAGTATTGTGTTATGCCAGGAAGCACAAGTATCCTGAGAATCGTAGTGCTCTGACCTACTGGGAGGAAAATGTTCCTTCAAGAATAGACCTGGGTAAGGATAAATATGGTGGACCATTTACAGAGGAAGAGGTAGAAGATGTGAAGACCGTCTTTCGTATAATACCATTATTCATTGCAGTAATTGGATATTCAATAAGTGAAGAACATTATTTTCATTTTTCTAAAAATGATGCTTCATTTCTAACCTGCCTTCTATTAAATGATGCCTTACATAATCTATGTTCACTTCTTCTATTACTCATATACTTGTACTTTGTTAGAGTTTTTTTCTACAAGTATATTCCTAATATGCTACGTAGGATGAGTATTGGACTAGTCTTTGCTTTGCTGTCAAAAAGTCTTTATTTGTTACCGTTTTTAAGCAATACATGGAAGGGCTTAGCTTTTCAGATACTTATTGGAATTTGTTACATTTTAGTCAATCCTGTTTCACTTGAGTTTGTAGTAGCTCAGTCACCAATGCAGGCTAGAGGAGTGATGGTGGGCATATGGTATGCTTCATGGCAGATTAGATCTACTCTGTCATATTTTATAGCTTTTTTATTCAATTGTGAGCATCAGGATATCTGTTCAAATTTCTATTACCATCTGACAAAAGTTATCCTGCTTCTTATTATTCTGACAGTGTTTGTATTGCTGGCTAAACGATACAAGTATCGTGTGAGAGAAAATGATATTACCGTATAGCCACAAAGTTTCGAGGCAATAAACTTTCGCGAATCAGGCCACAAGTCTTTTTTCGCGAATTAACTTTCGCGGTTCCTGCTTTAAAGCACACGTGTTTATGGGCAATACGGATATTTCACGGAATTAACTTTCGCGAATACGGAAAATCCGCGAAAACAGCGAAAGTTGTACCCTCGAAATTAAGCGGCTATACGGTAATATTTATGAGATCGTTGATCGTACTTATCAAAATTATTTCCAACAAGAGAAAGAATACAATAACCAAGAGAATAGTATAGACATTAGTTTCACTGATAACTAATAGTTTGTATGTTATTTGTTGGTGTACTACATTGCACTTTCAAAAACAACATCATTAATAACTTAGTGCATCATACTTTCAATTTCTTTAAAAATACTGATGAATAACTGTTGTGCTGCGAAGGAATCTGACTATGGCAAAGAATTTTAATTTGGTTTTCATTACTTCTTTTTCAGCTGTCTTGGTTCTTTTTTGGGATCATCTTCTGTACTTTCAATTTGGAATTGATTGGTACTCTCTAAAATATAATGATCACATTGTTTTTGCTCTGTCTTCAGTTTATCTATTCTTTCCTTTTTTTGGTCTATTAGCTGATGTGTGGATTGGAAGATATAAAGCCATACTGATGGGCACAGTGCTATGTTTCATATCATGGATTATGTCTGGGATTGGATTTATCATACAAACCCTTGATGGCCCTTATGAAGTATCGCTGTGGCTAGCATATGGTATATCTTATTTGACCCAGTGTGCTGGCCTAGCTTTGTTTACTGCTAACATTATTCAGTATATCATTGATCAACTTGTTGGAGCTTCAGCTGATGAACTAAGCACTGTAATATATTGGCACTGTGCTGCTTCACCACTTAAGTCAGTTCCTTTTAGTTTTGCTAACTGTTTTGATACTTATAATCATCTTAATTTGATTATGTTTGTACTATCTGGAGTAGCTGTATCTCTTGTACTGGTGTCTCATTCATTCTTCAAACACAAACTGGAGAACATATCACTGATTAAGAATCCTGTCAAACTGATAGTTAGAGTATTGTGTTATGCCAGGAAGCACAAGTATCCTGAGAATCGTAGTGCTCTGACCTACTGGGAGGAAGATGTTCCTTCAAGAATAGACCTGGGTAAAAATAAATATGGTGGACCATTCACAATTGAAGAGGTAGAAGATGTGAAGACTGTCTTTCGTATAATACCATTATTGATTGCGGTAATTGGGTATTTACTAAATGAAGAACATTATTATCATTTTTCCAATAATGACACTTCATTTTTAGCGTGCTTACAATCAAATGACATTTTGTATAATTCAGGCTCTTTACTTCTGCTACTAATATACTTGTACCTTTTTAGAGTTTTTTTCAACAAGTGCATTCCTAATATGTTACGTAGGATGAGTATTGGCCTAGTCTTTGCTTTACTATCAAGAATTCCTCTTATGCTACCCTTCTTAAGCAATGCGTGGAAGGACTTTATTTTTCAGATACTATTTGCATTATCTTATATTTTAGTCAATCCTGTTTCACTTGAGTTTACAGTAGCTCAGTCACCAGTGCAGTATAGAGGAGTGATGGTGGGCCTATGGTATGCTTCACGGCAGATTGGTGCTACTTTAAGAATTTGCTTGAGTCTTATATTTCATTGTGAACACCATGTTATCTGCTCAGATTTTTATTACTATGTCACAAAAGTTGTCCTGCTTGTTATTATCCTGATAGCATTTGTACTATTAGCTAGATGTTACAAGTATCGTGTGAGAGAGAATGACGTCAATATTTATAATATTGTCGAACATACTTATCAAAACTATATGAGACTAGAAGAAGAATACAATAACCAGGAGAACAGTATGGACATTAGCTCAAATTAATCATTAGTGATTGTGTGTGATTTGTTGCAATGCACTTTCAAAAACAGCTGCTACATAACTTTCATAATGCTTTCAATTTCATTAGCTAAGTGTTATGCTGTGAGAAATAGAAATTTCTTTTTTCAACTATCTTAATTCTTTATTGGGTTTAACAATTGTTTTATTGAGCTTATTTCTACACAAAATAATTATTATTGTAAGAATTGTTTTTGTACATGTAGTATCAATGAGCCACACTCTTTCCAAATACATAATATAAAGGTTGTTTATATGTAACTGCATTTGTTTACATAAATAAAACTGTATACTTTTAGTTTTCTTGTATGCTAATATAAGCTGCTGTCATATTAAGCATGAAGGACCACTTCTGTCATTGCAAGAATTCCTTATTTGTTATTATTTTTTAACAATACATGGAAGGAGCTTGTTTCACAAACACTTCTGGGAATATTTTATGTTTTAATCAATCCTGTTTTACTAGAGTTTGTAGACCAGTGCAGTGCAGACTAGAGGAGTGATGGTGGGCCTATGGTATATTTCATGGCAAATTGGTTATAATATAAAAATTTTTCTGAGTCTTCTTTTCCATTGCCAGTATCAAAATATCTGCTCAAATTTATGCTACCATTTAACAAAATCTGTCTTGCTTTTTATCATGCTGATAGTGTTTGTGATACTGGCTAAATGTTATAAGTATCGTGTGAGAGAGAATGAAGTTAATATTCATCAGATTGCTGCTGATGATCATTATCAGAGGTTCGTAAAATTGAGTGTGACACTTCAAAGAGGCTCGCTTGTTAGAGTTGGTATAATTATGATGATTGATGGAGCTGAGGGTTTGCCGAGGAGGCTCCTGTGATGTCCTTGTAGTTTATTGCAGATGATGAGTGACAGTAGATACAGGAAAAAGACTCCATTTCCTTTTCCTGTTAGTAGAGTCTTCTTTAAGAAATCAAAAGCTGCAAGCTGCTTCAGAGAAAGGAGCATAGGGCAGGCTCAAATCAGATGCAAGACTTTATTGCATAATTTTTTGTAAATTTTAAAAGCATTGTCCCTAAGTATAAATAAGCACTTGTCTACTATTAGTATTAGATCTTATAGCTCCATTGAGCAGTGCTGCTATGATGATAGAGGCAGACTTTTAATTAACAGGAATAGGAGGTGGAAGGATATACAGAGTGTATCCAAATGACTGGGTATCTATCATTGATAAATGCATGTACATACTAATGTCAAATCTTTCCTCTTTTGCCCAGGTCATTTATGGTTTGATGTTACCCCCTTCTATATTTGTTGCTCTTGCTTCTTTAAAGTGTGTAACAGATGCTATACCAAAAGATCTACTGACAACTGCATGGACTAGCTGGCCCGACAGAACTTTTATAGGCATGATATTTTTAAGTTGCTCAAAAATTGGGCAAAAAACCATGAGCTATAAAAACTAGGATTTCAAATGACCAACAAGAATACAAAATGAAAATCCTACTCTCATGACAAAATTCTACTCTACATAGTACTTTTAAGTCATTATGTAAAAAATACGGATCACCTTGCAATGTAGAGTAGAATTTAGGTCACACAAGAGTAGGATTTTCATTTTGTATTTTCATTGGTCATTTGGAATCCTACTTGTTCTTGTTTTTTTAAAAACTTTTATGTTCTTGTTTTTTTAAAACTTTTATGTTCTTGTTTCTGTTGATTTTTAAAAATATTTGTAATATAATAAAGTGAGAATAATAGGGGAGAGTAAAAAGAATAATAGGCAATTGTTTGGAATTTATGAATAGAATTATAGGGCAAAAATTAGCATAATTTGGACACCTGACCCATGGTGTACGTATCCAAGGGGTGGGGGCTGAGGGGGCTTGATCACCCCCTTAACAGAGGCGTATTTAGGGGGGGGGGCTGAGGGGGCTTGAGCACCCCCCTCAGGGCTGGGCTCAGAAAAAATTACTGAAGTCCTGGACTCTTGCATCACTACCAAGCCTCTTAACAAAGCTATGTAGCCCCCTGATCATGATTTCAGCAGTTTCCAGTGCTTTAAGGAGCAATCAGAAGTACCAGTAACATAGCAGTATGCTTGAAATGATCCTGGCCCCACCCGTAATTGACGAAAATGCAGGAAAAGGCTGTTTTACCGCCGTAAAAGTGGGTGTGGCCAAATCGCGGTGTGCTTCGCGCCCTCAACACCCCCTTCCCCAATTCCTAGATACGCCCTGCTTATGGCTGGGCTTAGAAAAAATGACTCAAGTCCAGGACTCTTGCAACCCTACCAAACCTAACAAAGTTATCTAGCCCCCTGATCATGATTTCAGCAGTTTCTAGTGCTGTAAGGAGCAATCAGAAGTTGTCAGAAGTACAAGCATGCTTGAAATTATCTTGACCATGTTTGACCCCACCCATAATTTTACAAAAATGAAAGAGAATGCCATTTTACTGCCGTAAAAGAGGGGTGTGGGTGTGGCCAAAATCACGGCACACTTCATACGCCCTCATCATCCCCCTTTCTAAATTTCTAGACACGCCCTGGACTTCTATAGCTAGATAAAAGAATAGCATGATTCTCTTTCTTCTGAGATTTGAGCATGCACGACTAGGCCAAATTCTGGAGCATAATATGCTTCTTTTATAATTAACAAAATGGTGGAATGAGGTAGGTAACCATAGGTTGGGGATAGAGAGAGGGCAGCTTTATCTTATTGTAGAGTTGTTTGAAAAGTTGTGGGCTTGCACATAGATAGTTGGAGTAGAATGGTGTAAAAATTAGCCTTGTAACATTGACCAAAAAACCATAATACTCTCCATTAGCTATTGACAGAAGAAGATGATGATGAAGACAAAAAAGTGGACTGAGCAAAATGATTGTTTTGCAGATTTTTGACTTTGCTTATAAACAGAGTTTAGAGCCACGCTAGTGATACCAATGGAGTCCTCTAGTCAAGATAAGGTCCTTTAAGAAGTCTGGTAAGCATAGGGGCTCATTCACCTGGTATAGCAGGCTGCAAAGTCATGGACGCCATAATTGTTTTGGAGTGAATCCTATGATCCTACATGTACTTAGTCATGCTACTGGGTTACTAATAGTACACAGTCTTGGGCCAAGTTTTGTCAAAATGGCTAGAAGAGAATTTTTAGTTTTTATAACTTTTTTCTGATATACATACAAGTTCTAGCTGTATAGAGCTATCCAGTTGGAGCTGATTTCACTCAAAACATGATTTTAAAAATTAATTTTTAAAAATACCCAAAAAATTGGGCCTGAGATCATGTATTATGAACTAGGATGAATCCTGCTAATAGTGCACACAGTCTCGGGCCAAATTTCATCAAAATAGGAAGCATAAAATTTTTCATTGTTATGATATACATGTATATCTAGTTTGAGCTGATTCTGATCATAATTGAATTTTCAATGGATTTTAAAAGTTAATTAAAAGGAAGCTTGTTAGCTCATGAAGTGTGCTATTTGACTCACTTAGGATACTTTGTAGGAAACCCTGGTGATAATTTATAATTACTGCTAAGACAGCTGCACTGCTGTTTTTTAAAACAAGCCATGTTTTTATGCAAAAATATCAAAATGGTATTTTTAATGTGTAATTGTAATTGAGGTGCATGGTCATGCACATACATGTACATGTAACTTACACATTAACTAATGATATGTCACTTGCATCACAATAACATAAAGAACCAAACCTACATGCATCACATTAACAATTATTTTATTGCTATTAGCTATTACATACCTCTCGTGGAATTCCTGAAAGGTAGGTCTATACGCAAATCCTTCTTTCCTTATTTGTATGGTAGACATCATTCCAGTGTACCATAGCTAAAATTACAAATAAACTATAACAACAATATCTCTTAGAGATATTTTCTCCACTCTCTTCTTCCCCTCCTTTCTCTCTCTCTCTCTCTCTCCTCTTCACATGTACCTGTCGCTTGACAAACTCATCATCAAAGAGATGTGGCTTCTATAATATATATCAAATGTATGCCAGTATCAATGCATTTACATACTTTAAGTTTGTTTGGTTTAAGACAACGAATAAAATGAGGAACAGCTGAACTCATTTTTGTGACTAGCACTGACAATGAGCTCTGAGAGGTGTCAAGGTTAGAAAAGGAGAAAAAATAAATGAAGTGAAGTGTGTACATAAATGTACACGTAGATCATAAACATAAGATCAATTGCTTGTATTCATTACTTTGAATTGTGAACTAATGGTTGGAGTGTTCGTAGACCTACCTCTTCTAGCATTGCTCACTCTTCTCTACCAAACATTTGATTACATTATTAAAAATTAATACTTCTTACTTTTCCCGTGCTTTTACGGGTTGCTGTTGTCTTATGCAGTGCCAAAGTGCCAGTTCTGTTGATAGTTGCTATAATATAAATAATTATAATGAGATACTGCCTACATGTACAAGTATGTATTGTGCATGTGTTTCTCTGACATTCTCCCTCTCTCTCAATTTTTATCTACATGTACCTCTGAACAATAAGCTAACTAATTCATTAGTGCTATTTTCAAAACATTTCTTTACTCCTGGTGGCAGTGTATCCATATTTTTCTCTAAAAATCCATTAACTGAGTATAACACCTATAGTAATAGTAAAATAAATAACAATCATGACAATGATTGATTTAGATAAATAATCATTGTGAGCTTAATTTTACAAGCTCCCTGAAAGCATATGTACATACCATATAGCGGGTTTATTTTGAGAATAATAAATTTTGCAAATGACCCGTATCCGGAAGTTTGCAGCATTAATTTTCGTGAATTTCCACTATTCTGCCATCTTGTACTGTATTAAATTGATTTTCAAGGAATTTAATTTTGCAAATCTTAAAAAATCTGCAAAATTCGCGAAATTTGTTATCCTCAAAAAGAAACCCACTATACGGTCATGAGTTTGACAAAAAAGTTAATGGGACTTATAACTTTCACTAATTAAAAAAATAATGGTGCCTTCAAGGTACACAAAATTATTATCTTACTTTTCCAGCAAAGTGCGTTATAGTAAATGTCCCACTCGAGATGCTTTTTGATGGAGTATAGAATGATTCTTTCTTCATCCTCTCATTTAATTTGTGTAAAAAGTTGGCATCAGTTGCACGAGGAACAGAGCCTTGATCATCAAGCAAGTGAAACACACTCTTGGAACCAAGGAAAAAACAATCCTGAGAAAAAAGGAAAATGAAAATAATTTCTATATTCTGTGTACCAGCAGTGGCTGTGTGTCTTGTACGACAATGTCTGCTCCATTAACTCCTTCTTCATTGTACTGACTTAATTCAATATGGAATATATGCTGCAAAGGTGTGTGAGAGAAGAATTTATTAAATGGCATTACAAAAAAGAGGTGAGAAAATATGCATATACATGTAGATGAGAGTAAAAGAGTTAAATTATATAGTGTATAATAATGTGTGAACATCTCTGTACTTGAATAAAGAAGTTATGCAGTTGTTCATTAGCCAGATTAATGCATAGCTGCTCAAATGAATTTCTGTGGAAATCCTCAAAACCAAAAATATCCAATATACCTACAAACAGTCACTTGACAGCCACAAAAATTAACACATACCAATATCACAGCCCCATGCCACATCTTCAAGTGTTGGTGCTAATAACTGATTTATTTGATTCACAATCCAGCGAAATAATCTGTCATACAGTGTTTTACTGATACTATCACGTATAGCTAGACAGAAGGATTGGAAGAGAGTAAACAAGAGAGACAGAACTAGGAAAAATTTTTATTTTAAGCCCAGTATATATGTACATGTACTTGTATGTATCAAGTAATTGACATTAGTTTTCTTTACCTTCTGATTTTATTTTATTATTATGTTTACGTATGATTTCTCCCCTTGCAGTCGACATACTTATTGTTAACAACTGTATAAAAGTATCACTCTCCAGTCCCAGCAGTCTCTATACAATAAGACATTAATAATGTAATTAACATTTACTCATTTGTATAATACTTTAGTCATTCATTGGGAGTAACAAAATTTGGTAAAATTGACTCAAATGCCACAGCAGTGAAGCAAATTATGGCAATTCACCATTTGGTAGCCAATAACTATTTTTAATGAATTGGTGTTTCAATTTTATATTGTCCTAAAATTTGTGAACTTGCCAAATTTAATCCTTCTCATTATAATGTATGTACTAATTACAATTATAAGAAATATGACCATTAACTTTTTGTTTATAGTTGCGTACAAGAGTAGATTCTTAATGTATGGTTTGGTTATGAAACCACTATTGTTAAAGACTTCCAATTGGAAACAAAAGACATCTCCAGTTGTGAGCATTTTAAGCTTAATGACTTGATCAAGAAAGCTCAATGCAAGGTGTGCATAAATATTCAGCTAATTTGGCATACAAATATTTAACAATGTGATGAATCATATACAAAAAAAGTATCGCAGTGCTAACAATAAATTTATTTTAATAAGTATTCAACTACTTGTTTGTTAAGGATGTAGTTATTCAACAACTAAATATAATGTTTGATCTAACCTAAAATTATTTTATTGCACTTACTGAGGCAATGTCAATTGAATGTGATTGTGTTATTATTGATTGATCACTATCATTTTCATCAATATTGATATTACCAATGTGCAGTATTGAACCTATTAAGAGGAAAATATCTTCCTGCTCCTATTAGAGAGAGACAGCAGAAAAGAAAACAAGAAGCAAGCACAAAACAGAAAAGAAAGAATGACGTTAAACATGTCAGTGCCTGCTAGCTATTGATTATACTTCTTCTTTAAATCCAACTAGATCAAGACAGTCTCTCAGTTCTTTAAACTTTTCTTTCTCATCTCCACATGTAGTCGTCTTCCCTCCCAAATACCTAAAATTATTACAAGGTAAAATCAGCATAGCATGCCACAGACAGCACTCTAACCTAAATATGCATTTATCATGAATGTTTAGGTTAATCTTCAAAATTGTGTCCAGACCCTCCAGCATCCAATAAAAAACATGAAAATTTCTCTCTCCAGGGTTCTGGTACACAACTCTTGACTTCTCAAGTAAATATTCATTTATTTTAGCTCCAGTAACTGTTTTATAAATATTTATAACATTGCATGCCAGGTATAGAAAACAGTACATATTATTGTTGTTTATCTAACCTTTTCCCATTCCGTTAAATTTCAGTTGAAGATATTTTCCAAACCTAGATGAATTATTATTCATTGTTGTTTGAGCATTTCCAAATCCTTCAAGTAATGGATTCATCTAGAGAAAAAGAATAATAGTGAAAGAGGAAATACATGAGATATTAATCATTGTACTTGCAATATTCTTAGTTCCAGATTGTTACGGCTACCACTGAATTGCGTTACATGCTTCACAAGATACTTACACACTTCAGTTTTACCAGCACCACTCTCACCACTGAAATAAAGAAGAAATTTGTAGATAAGAGCAAATAATGAAACTAAAGATAACAGATAACAAGAAATACTTGGGAGTACATAACAAAAATAGATAGTAATTAAATAATAAATGTATGAGTAATTCATAGTAATGAAAAATATTTGATGAGGCAGCAAAAATTGATCATCTGACTTATGTTTACCCAATGAGTATGAGGACATACAATCTTCACTCTCTCATTCTCCTCATCTCATCTTGTTCCCTTTTCATTTTATTGCACTTCTCTCTCCTCTCCATACCTCCTTATCTTTCTTTTCCTCTCTACTTCTTTGTCCTCTTAATTCTTTCTCTTTCACCCACCCTTTCTCTCTATTTATCAAGTTTACCTGATAATACAGCATTGATCACAACTGGTTGATATCATTTCATTGTAAATTCTTTTTGACAAGTTATAAACATGGGGAATAGTAACATCTCTCAAATACTAAACAGTAAAATAAAAAATAACAATACTATTAATAAGGGTGCTACATCGTCTCCATTGATTATCATATAAGGGTTAATAGATATCAGTATATCACCAATATTACTCTACAAAGAGAAATAATAAGTCTCAACATAAGTAGGCACTAGGCAGCGAGAGAAAGTAGCATCTTACATATATCACATCATTCTGGTATCTTAGTTTAAAGTATTCCAACAGTTTGTCTTCATTGCATATATCAGACACTAGACTAACGTCTCTTACAAGTAAATAGTCATTTATTCTCTCCATTCGAGCATCTAAACTTCTATCTCCTCCTGATGACTGTGATGAGTTAGTCTGGCTGGTCCAGACCCAGACTAGTGATGAGTGATGATCGGAATCGGATCTGCACAATTAGTGGGGGAGTGGCTCTGCTGGCTCATTATTATTTAATTAATGAGTGGGTGTTACACAAGCAACACAATGCAACAAAAATGCCAGTGATATACATCAAGAGTGGATAATTCCACTCTTGTATACATGTATAAACATATTGAAATGTCGTTTATTTCATCATTAGCCTCAAAGAGCAACAAGAATTGCAAGACCAATCCAAAGAAATAAAACAAAAAAAACTTGCAATGATCAAACAAAAACTACTACAAAGAGCTAATCTCGTGTATTTTTTCTTTTCCTCTTCATCTCTTTCAGTATTTCCCTATAATCAACAAAATATAAACTAAGTTTAATATTAAAGAGTGCATGAGATTACACTGTATAATCAACAGCCTTTAAAGACTTTACATTTAAAACATAACTTGCCTTATAAATACAATAAATTGATGGAACAATGCATAACAGAAGAACAAAATTGCTTAGCAACAGTGCCAATACTATCATACAAATTGATGCAATGATTCTAATATCAAAGGATTGATTTCTTCTTGTAGCAACAACCTACATTGTTGTTTAAGAAAAGCGGATACCATAATACATGTATTATGGACAATAAAAATGCTTACAGGATTTTGCATAGCTGGTATGGGTTGAGCATTAAATTTTTGCTGCTCAGCAGGCAAAGGTTGATAATATTCGTAAGGGTTTGGGTTGATATGATTATGGTAGTTTGGAGGTTGCTCAGCCGGAGCAGGGTCAGGTTGACAATCTTGAATACTAGGCGGATAGTAGTTGAAGTCTTGTTGAAAAGGACGACCCTGGGATTCATTCAGGATTGGCTGATAAAGATTGCCATAGTTCACATCTTGATATTCTTGAGCATTAGAATAATATGGACTCTTTTGCTAGAATGATAGATAAAAATGAGAATTAATATTGGTGCCTTTATGGACTGTGGTGCAGTGAGCATGCAGCAGCTGCATGGTGTATAAAATTTGCCTTTACCATCACATTTCATTTTGAGCATATTCAAAGACGTGTGAATGTTAAACCATGCTGAACCACCAAATATAAAATGTACCAATTGTCAAATATGAACTCTTGCAAATACTTCCACTAAATTCTACAGATAGGGGCAATATAGATCTAGTCTACACTCTACAATGATACGTATAATTCTGGTCATTAATAGTATTCAGATTCTGGTCAAAAAATTACGATCTCAATTAAGCTTATAAATTTCTAGTACTGACAGACTATTAGCACTAATACTTTGGACTTACTTCGACACTTAGTAAATTGCTAGTCTCATCTTTTGTTTGCTTTGCTTCCATTATTCTAGTATAGGGTGCGGTTTACGTGCATAGTCTGCATACCCCACCCACCAATTTTGGTAAGGCATGGAATAAAGAAGTTATGCAGTAGATCTAGTGTTGTGCTAGTGTATGGAATTCTATTTTAGCTCTAGTTTTTAACTAAAAATATATTAATTTTAGTGTTAGTCATAGTTCTTTGACAAAAATACAATAATTTTAGTTCTAGTTCTCTAACAATAAATACATCAAGTTTAGTTCTAGTTTTTAGAACTGGAACTAAGCAGAACAATAATTATATATTTACAGTCAAACCTGTCTATTCCGGACACCTTGGGACCCAATAAAACTGTCCTTATTAAAGAGGTGTCCTTATTTCAGAGGTTCATTAATACACACTTATATTGTATTGGGACTGATACTACCTGTCCTGATTAAAGAGGTGTCAGGGCCTTATTTTAGAGTGTCCACAATAGCAGGTTTGACTGTAGTTCTAGTATAGAAGATTAAGAAGAACTAGAACAACACTATTATGCAGTTGTTCATTAGCCAGATTAATGCATAGCTGCTCAAATGAATTTCTGTGGAAATCCTCAAAACCAAAAATATCCAATATACCTATACAAACATAAGATCATTTGCTTGTATTCATTACTTTGAATTGTAAACTAATAGTTAGAGTGTTATTAGACCTACCTCTTCTTGCATTGCTCACTTCTCTCTACCAAACATCTCATTACGTTACTAAAAATTAATACTTCTTACTTTTCCCGTGCTTTTACTGGTTGCTCGTGTCTTATGCAGTGCCAAAGTGCCAGTTCCGTTGATATATAGATCTAGTTGCTATTATGAATAATTATAATGAGATACTGTCTACATGCACAAGTATGTAAGAGTGTGTGTGTGTGGTATTGCACAAGTTGTTGGTAATACTTATACAAAGCTAAAATAAGGTTATAGATCAACTCCAATTTGTGTACTATGAAGGATTAGCAACAAAGGCTACAAGATTCTCTTTGATAACAAAAAAAGGACACAACTGTTACAAAGAAAAGATACTAACATAGAGAGAGAAATCTGAGAAGTGATAATGTGTTATGCACATGTGCACACAAGTTATGATAATAATAACAAGTAGTATAATAATAATGATAATAATAATAACTGTAATGATAGTTAACCATCCACTACAGTACTCCCCCTCCAGCGTAAGAATACCTTATAAATTGAGACGAGAGGGAAAATGAACTTGGCGTCCTAAACAAGTATGAGTGACAGCAGTGGAAGGAGTAGTAGGTAGAGTAGCAGTATGATTAGTAATAGGAGTGTTAGGAGTACTGTTGTCAGTAGTAGAAGTTGAGGAATTAATATGAGCAGTCTTTAATCGATCTATACTGACAATATCATTCCGACCGCTGATATCTAAGACAAAATATTTGTCTGAGTGAGACAACACTCAAAATGGGCCATCGTATGGTTGTAGCAAGGGCCTCTTAACTGCATCTCTACAAACGAAGACATATTGAGTAGTCGAGAGAGATGTGTCTATAACTGAATCACGAATATTTTGAATGCGAGTAGCACTAGCACATAATGTATAGAATCAGGAGTAGAGGAGGGAAGGAGAAAAAAATTTACCAGGGAGACGGAGTGGCATATCATATACTAGTTCTGCAGTAGTGCAGTGAAGATCCTCCTTAAGAGCAACATGTATGCTGAGTAATACCAATGGAAGAGAGTCGGTCTATGAAGAGTCATTGTGAGCTTTAAGAGCTACTTTCAGTTGTCGGAGGAAACGTTCCACAATACCATTTGCTTGGGGTGGTAGGCCATGTTGCAAATACGTGTAGTACCTAGCAATATGATGAGTTGATACCAGACGTTAGATTCAAATTGACATCTGCAATCAGTAGTAATGGTGGATGGGACTCCAAACCTTGAAATCCATCCAGAAATGAGAGAACGAGCAACTGAGAGAGAAGTATTATCAGTGAGGGGAAATTTAAATGCTTCTGGCCATCAAGTGAAATCTATCAATACAAGTGAGTAGATATGTATGACCATGAGAAGGGGGAAGGGGGCCAACAATATCAACATGGATGTGATCGAACAGAGAATCAGGTGTAGGAAAAAATGATAAAGGGGAAAGAGTGTGATGAATTACTTTGGACTGTTGACAAGAGAGGCATGTACGAGTCCATCCTTCAATATCAGAGTAGATCTTGGGTTACACAAATTGACTTGATATGAGTTTCCCAGTAGCTTTAATACCTGGATGAGAAAGTCTGTGCAGAGCATTGAAAACTAATCGACAATCGTTTGAAAGAGGGTGGTACAACTGGGCGTGGTGCTCCATGAGAAACGTCACAAATAATAGAGTGTGTAGAATGAGGAAGAGGGAAAGGTTGTAGAGTGAGAGAGTGATGCCAAGACTCTGTAGAGAGAAACTCACACTTATCTTGAGCAGTAGCCATTTCTTCTAGATTAAGAATAGGAGGGAGTCAAATGGCATTGAGTTGTACTCTGGACAATGCATCAGCAACTGGGTTGTCCTTGCCCTGTATGTGACGAATATCACTAGTAAATTTAGAAATGTAATCGAGATGTCTGATTTGTTGTGGTGAATATTTATTAGATTTAGTATGCAAGGAATATGTGAGTGGTTTGTGGTCAGTGTAAACTGTGAAGACATGACCTTCAACAAAATAACAAAAGTGTTTGATAGCTAAATAAATGGCTAGGAGCTCTCAATCAAGAGTGTTATACTTTTGCTCAGTTGGGGAAAGCTTCCTGGAAAAATATGAAAGTGGTTGCCACTGATTATTCACATATTGTTGTAATACTGCACCTACAGCAATGTCAGATGCATCAGTCAATATGGCAGTGGGAGCTTCAGGGGTGGGATGGAATAATAATGAGGCTTGAGCTAAAGCTTCCTTGGCCTTTTGAAATACACAATTACACTCATTTACTCAGACCATTGCAGCTCAGACTTAGTGTGTGAATGAGTGAGGAGTGTGTGTAAGGAATGCAATACCTTAGCACAGTGTGGTATGAAACGATGGTAAAAGTTAACCATCCCAAGAAACTCTCTTAACTACCGTTGAGTAGTCGGACGAGGATGGCAGAGACCTTGCTCTCTAATGGCTGAATACCATCTGCATTAATGACATGGCCTAAGAAGTGGAGAGAAGGCACACCTAGCTCACACTTGTTGGGGTGAATAAGGACACAATATCACAATATTCTTTAAATCATTCGAAAACAAGGCGAAGATGTTGTTTATGCTCCTCCTCTGAAGAACTTGCATTGAGGACATCATCAATATATGCGTAAGTAAATTTAAGCCCACGTAAGACAGTATCAATAAACCTCTGGAAAGACTGGGCAGTGTTACGGAGTCCATTTGTATGAACTCAAATAACCCAAAGGGAGTAGTGATGGCAGTTTTGTGGATGTCCTCTTGAGCGACAGGGATCTGGTGGTAAGCTCTCACAAGATCGAGCTTAGAGAAAGTAGTAGTACCACGGAGAGTTGAAGTGAAATCTTGGATATGAGGAAAAGGATACCTGTCTGGTACAGTAACTCAATTGAGTGCTCGGTAGTCTCCGCAAGGTCTCCAATCTCCTGTTTTCCTGGGAACCATGTGCAATGCAGAAGATCATTGGCTAGAGGAGGGATGAATTATACCAAGTTCCATCATATGGTCGAACTCAGACTTAGCGAGAGTGAGACGTTCCGGAGGGAGTCGACGAGTACGTGCTGAAATGGGATGACCAGTTGTCAATGAATGAGCAAGTGAGTTCCAGATAATCTAAAAGGAGAGAATGGAAAGGATTAGAAGAAAAGAGAGGGTTAAGTGTGGTTAGACTGTGTGTATTCTGGTGTGTGGATATAATATCTGTCTTTAATTTTGATTCAGAGTCCATCAATATACGATTCTTGACATCAACCAATAGACCATGATGCCTGAGAAAGTCTGCCCCCAATATAGGTTGGCGTACGACAGCCACGGTAAAGATCCAGTGATATGGGTGGCAAAAACCGAGATTTAGAGTGATAGAACAAAGTCCATAAGTGGTAATGGTAGCACCATTAGCTGCTAAGAGATTGATACATTGTTGTTTGTGTTGCCTCTCTGACTTTGATGGAGGAACAACACTGATCTCAGCACCAGTATCCACCAGAAAATGCTGATGTGAAGTACACTCCAGGACAAAAAATAGATAACTAGGAGATTGGCCAGGCACGGTAGTCGCCATTAGTGATCGGCCTGGGGGTTTTCCGATTCCCAGGAGCATGGCTGAGTGCATTTAGCTGCTTTGCTGGCAAAGCGAGAATGATACCAGCAGAGACCAGTAGGCCAATTAGGTAGAGCTGGGCTGGGAGTTCGGTGCTTAGGAAAGTGCTTATGAAGAGTAGTATTATGGTGAGAAGTAGAGAGGGAAAAAAAGAGAGATTTGACAAGAGATTTAAGATCAGTAATATCAGTGCGTAGCTTATCTACCTCAGTTGAGAGTTGTCAGGTTTCAATTGAAGAAACAGAAGGAGTGGCTACCTCAAACACTCTGTTAGCTAATGAGGCTAACACTTCAAAGTCTTTTGTGTCTTTAGTGGAGGCCAAGACCACCCTTACTTGAGAAGGAAGACGCTGGAAAAAGAGTTCTCTGAGAAACGAGGGTTCAGCAGTACTGGCCTTGTCACCCAATAGTTGCTGCATCCTACGAAGGAGTTGCGATGGAGTCCTGTCTCCCAGATCTTTGGTGCTGAAGACCTCCTAGAGCCGTCTTTGTTCCAAGGCAGTGGTCCTCTTGATTCAATCTAGACATCGCGTTGCTGAGACGGGTCACCAATGTGGTATTGCCAAAGCTGTTGGTAATACCAACTAATAAAAGAGCTAAAATAAGAAGGCTATAAATCAACTCCAGCCTATTTACTGTGAGAAATAGCACTAAGGCGATAGGATTCTCTTTGATAACAAAAGCAAAGGACACAACAGTTACAAAGAAAAGATACAGAGAAATCTGAGAAGAGATAATGTGTTATGCACATGTGCACACAAGTTATTATAATAATAACAGTACTGTACTTGTAATAATGATAATAATAATAATCGTAATAATAATAATAACTGTGATAATAGTTAACCATCCACTACAAGACATCTCTAGTTGTGAGCATTTGGAGCTTAAAGAAGAAAGCTCAATGCAAGGTGTGCATGAATGTTCAGCTAATTTGGCATACAAATATTCAACAATGTGATCAATCATATACAACAAAAAGTATCACAGTGCTAACGAGACACCTACGGTGCGTGGCCTCGCCCTTATAACTGTTTGATTATCAAAATTAAAAGAACTTTAACGTGCAAATTGGATATATATATATATATATATATATATATATATATATATATATAACAAGTGTACTCCTGAGGGATAGCAGCTAGCTTGTATAGATCTACCAGACTACCTGCAGAAGTAGCAGCATGCAAGCTACTCCAGCTACTCCCAAATTGGAGGTGTGGCCTGACATCTCAACAACTATTAATTAATTATTTGATGGCAGCAAGCCCTGCAACAAGAAGGAAGTTTCAGATTTTTCTCTTCTTATAAGTGCTATATGATATTATAACGGCACAAATACTGTTGCCTAGATGTAAATTGAGTGATTTGAGAGAGTTTAGGACCTTTAGACTACCTGCAATTCACTCGGGTTGAAATTCAAGAAGCTATAACTCACCAACAAGAAAGATTTAAAGAGTGCCACAAATATTAAAACAATAACTAGTCTTGATCTACTGGAAAAGAGTCTCATTTACCTCCAGAGTACTATTGCTATTGCTGGGCATTTTCTCGTGAGATAAAAAGCTTCTACTAGCTAGAGCTGCTCTCTAAACATCTCAAGGCAGTAAAGCAAGACTTTTCCTAACAGAAGAGAAGCTCGCACAGATTTAGAGCACGCGATTATAAAGATATACATTCTCAAAGACAAAATATAGCACACAGAATGAATGAATGACAGACAGACAAACTGAGTACCTAGTCCTTGCCTACGCAAAGCTGGGCGAGGCCAATAAACATTTAAAACATTGCGTGCCAGGTATATAAAACAATACATATCATTGTTGTTTACATGTATCTAACCTTTTCTCATTCCATTAAATTTCAGTTGAAGATATTTTCCAAACCTAGATGAATTATCATTCATTGTTGTTTGAGCATTTCCAAATCCTTTAAGCAATGGATTCATCTAGAGAGAAAAAAATAGTGAGAGAGAGAGTTCAGAGAGGGAAAGTGCATGAGATAAATGAACTAACATAAAACATAAAAATTTAACTTCATTTTATTAACTTGAAGGCTCTTCTATGAAGTATGTTGTCACAAAATGCATCAAAGCAACAAATTGCATCTTCAATTTTTTTGTTTCACCTTTAATATCAGTCTCACTGATTTTTTACACGAGGATAATGATGAGATCTGTCAACAAAAGAAGTTTAACACTCTAGTAATTTTGCTATAAATGATTTGAAAGTATATGAATAATTAATGAGAATTACATACCCTGCCCCCTAGTGATGGGCGATATGGCCAATTTTCTTAATTTTCAATAACGATCGATAATGGACTTTTAAAGGAAATATCGATTATTAACGATACGATAACCACACCTTCATTTAAGGGTGTGTCAAGGGTGTGGCTGATGATTTTGGCACTGTACTGGACATGAGAGAAAATTATTTCCATGCTCTTGTGCCTTGTTTCTCTTCTTATTGGGGTAGGCTGAGCTAACAACTGGTCAGTTGCCTCTTTCTTGCAGTTCAACAGTGCAATTACTTATTAAAATTAGTAATTTAACCTTAATAAATGGGCGTGGTCAATAGATCGATGAAAATTGCATAAAATTTTCGATAATGATTCAAATCGATTCCGTAAAATATCGTTTATATCGATAAAGAATCGATATATCGCCCATCACTACTGCCCCCTTAATCATTGTACTTGCAATATTCTTAGTTCCAGATTGTTACGGCTACCACTAAATGGAGTTACATGTTTCACAAGATACTTACACACTTCAGTTCTACCAGCACCACTCTCACCACAGGAGCAGAAAAGAAATTAATAACAATAATTATTTCACATAATTAAGAGTATCTACACTGTAGATAAAACACATAATGAAAGTAATAAAAATAAATAGAAACAAATACAATGTATCTGGAATTTATGTTTTAGTAAATTGTGTGAGATTCAATAGGATTGTGTTGTGTATTATTGAATGTGGCATGTAATTATTATGCGTGATCTATTTTCTTGTAAATTTCTAATCTAGCAAATTTAAAGTCATAGTAAAAATTTCCAATAAATGGTAATAAATAATTACTTTAGATTGCATAACAAAAATAGTTACTAATTAAATAATAAATTAATGAGTAAATAAGAGTAATGAAAAATATTTGATGAGGCAGCAAAAATTAATGATCTGACATTATGTTTACTCAAGAGAACCAACATTTATCTCTCTTATTCTCCTCATCTCATCTACTCCTCATTTTCTCTTCTCTCCTCTTCATTCTCTATATCCTTTCTCTTTCACTCTCGTTTCCTCTCTATGCCATTGTCTTCTTTATTTTTCTTC